AGTTTGGTTCAATAAGACGTTGTAATTTAAAAATACTTTTCACTATGACAATATTACCTACCTACTGCAGAAAAAAGTGCGCTATCAGGGGCTGGCAGGAGCGGAAGAAGAGAGCGTGATTGTTGTTTCATACAAGTATTCGCTACATACACATGTACTTAGGTGTGAGTAGGTACCTAATTATAATACTGTTTTTTTATGTTATAAGTCGGCAAACGAACAGACGGATTACCTGATGGTAAGCAATCAACGCTGCCCATGGACACCCGCAACGGAGGAGTTACGAGTGCGTTTCCGACCTTTTAGGGATTAGGAATTTGGAGATTTAGGGATTGGAGAAGGGTCCGGGAAGTGGAAGGATTGGGCCTCCGGTAACCTCACTCACACGGCGAAACACAACGCTGTGGTTGTTTCACGCCGGTTTTCTGTGAGGCCGTGGTATTACTCCGGTCGAGCCGACCCATTCGTGCCGAAGCATGGCTCTCCCACAATTATAAGTATTACTATTACTTATTTATAACGAGTAAAGGGAACTCATTCACTCGGTAGGTACCTACCACTTACCGACTTAAACACGTAGGCTTACCCCTTCAACAAATTGCAGTGCTCCCTAGTTAGGCATTGTAAATAAATTATGTTCACCCTTTGAGTACATGCCTACGGTAATCACTTAATAAATGTGGAAATACGAGCAAATACCAACAAGGTACATACATACTTAGTAATTATAAACATTCTTTGTATGGTATGGATGCAAACTTCACTCGATAGCTTAGCTAGATACATAGAAATTGATTCTGTAACAAATATTGGGTAAACTGCGACAGAAGGCACAAGTATGTTGAGTACGTACATTCTGAAAAGCAAAAAGCGCTTTCATTTTTCAATCGTTCCATATTTTAGAAGGCCCACTTATGTAGGTAGAATCAAAATTAAATAAAATTAATATTACTTCTTTGCTATGGTTTTCCGACACCAGGAAAGGATTATTTTGACGAAAAATTTTCAATAATTTGTCAGGAATTTTGGGAAACGGCAACCCTTTCGACGTCGTGGCTGGAAGCTTACAAAACAAATAAATGACTCCGGGAAAGTTATTTATGTTAATTACGACCCTTATGAAGCCGGGACGAGTTGGGAGTAAATGACATTGATTATATATTGCATTTGAAAGAAAATAATAATGATTCGCTTCTTTGTTATGCATAGTAGGTACTAACTATAATCTCGGTGCAACACAGACTACACGGGACTTTAACTAAAACACGGCACCCGCGTAGGTGTTAATGTAAGCAAATCAGTCATGTGCGCCTTATTGTTTACAAATACAAGCCGTAAATTAGTACCACTTCAATTCAAACTGTAACTACGCTATCATATTTAACTACTCTTACTTGGCGTTTTTAAACAACTTCTAAAGCATATTAGAAGCAAATTGATACCCGGTTGTTTATTACGCGAACCCAGCCTCTAATCAAGTCTAATTTCTTATTTATTCATAGCAATTGGGTAACGAATATTTCTAAGTATTGCTTAAAAATAGCGTTTAGCTAACTAATGTTGTTCATTCTTGCACAGCATACTATTTATAAACATTCTTGTGATGAAGATGGAAGCCGTACCCACGTGAAATACTAGTAATTTTAAATATGCAAGTGAAAATAAGTAGTTATCGTACATAATGTAAGTTAGTGTGTTACTGGAAACAAGAAACATACCCAGTTGGAAGCTTGTAAAGTATAGAATGTGGCAGTAACTTATCATTCGGCGCAGGTCGTAAAACTCGACGAAGGAAAAGGTTGCCGTTGTGTTCGTAGATAGTGTATGGGATGCCAATCTTATACATCGTGCGTTTTATGAACCTCTAGAGCACTGGTTAGACAAGTATATACATAGCATATATGCTATGGGTCCACCACTAGGCTTCGTAACTGTTAACAAGACTTTTATAAAATGCAATATAGAATATGGAACTACGCCCATAAATGCTAAGTTTATTAAAGAAAATTCCTTTACAAAATACAATTTCAATTAGTTTTACTGAAAATAATATAATAATGACAGTAAAATTTGCCATTGTCACAATAATTTCCCCGGTAGTAATAGTATGTACCTAAGCATTATCACGGGTTCGATTCACAGACCGAAAATTATTGAGTATTTATCCTCAACATCTATTAAATAATTTTCTAAAATCCCGAGCCTACACAGTTCAATAGTTTTTTTGGTAAGAAATAAACTGTTAAAGCATTTTAATTACAATCATAATTTCATCCATTGATATAACGATCGACTTAATTTTATAGATTGTTTCGAGACAATATTTCATTAATAACAAAAAAAAAATGCTATTTCACGTAAAATCTTACATTTATGACACTCATATAAATTTGAACTATAGTTTTTATCATTTCGATAAAATTATCGAATTTGACAAGTTGGAAACTAACATACTTATTATTCGAAACTCTTAATATGTATAAGTGGTAAAAAGGAAACTCGACATTAAATACATATGCCCTCAGTGAGTAGTATATCTGTTCGAATTCTACGTTACAAAAGCAAGTGCAACAAACAAATCTATAAATGATCAGCTAACACTACTTATTGCTATTACCTAATTACTAAAACGAATCATTCCATTCAATAATAGATTTCTAATTTCGTTTTGAACTGCCATTGACTGCCGACTGCACGCGTACCTGAATAGGTCGGCTCGGGTAAAGTAGTATTATTAGATTTTTTATTTTCTAATTTTCGCTTCCTTTTACACTAGCTACTCTCACGCGGTTTCACCCGCTGCTTGGCTCCATTTGATCGTAGTGTGATGTTTTGTAGCCTATAGCACTCAGGAACATTGTAGATCAGTGAAAGAATTTTGGCAATCCGACCAGTGGTTCCAAAGATTACCCCCTACATACAAACTTACAAATGTTACCTCTTTATAATATTAGTATAGATTACACTCGTTATCTTAACGTAGCGGCCCGTTGATCAAGTGAACGCGAGTCCCCAACAAGCTGTCTAGGTTCTATTCTCGAGTCAAGATTCGCATTGTTACGTCGTAGCCCGGAGTCTGGAAGCGTAACCACTACAGGATCCCCATCCCCTACAGCGCTAAGTGGCTAGGTTGACTCGGTGTACACAGTATACACCCCTTTGGTGTACACTCGGGGAGACTTATGTACCTACATTTATTAAATTAAGTTACATATCCACTTTAATTATCTTTATGTGTTGATATTTTCCTGTTACTTGTCCGATTCTTTGTATTCATGTTTTTATAATCTGCTTTTCGTTCAAGTATTTTTTTACCAAGTAATTATTTATCTGTCACTTGGACCTATGCTTACCCTTTCAAGGCATAAGCAAGTAAAGGCAGGTACAAAGAAAGCATAGCTACCAAAACGAGGATGTAAATGGGTTCTGAAAGTGCAATTCCGTCGTCTCCTTTGGGGAATAAAAGTTTTGACGTTTATTTTGAATTCTGAAACAATCTAAAATCGCGCGACGTAGAAAAGTAGCAACTTGTACCGTTACGTAGCATTATATTATTACACAAAACAAAGCAACGTATAACTGGTTCGATTTCCGCATAGAAAAATTCATTGTTAAAGACACAAATTGTTGTTCCGGATCAGTAAACGATGTTATTGTCAAAAAATGAGTTTATCTTAGCGTATTACAATACATGAACAGAGTAAAAAACTAAGTAACTAAGCTAAAGGCACAAAAAGTTTAACTCACAATAACTTTATTCTTTTTCATATTAAAGTTCCAAGAATCCGCCACGTGACAAAGAAATCAATACAATTTATTATACTAATTTATCAAACCATTATGGAGCCCGTGGTCAGTACTCGTAGATAATTACATGGCCGCTCATGCAACCTGTAACGCAATCATGACAGTGATGCTTAATGCCGCACATTAGCATGCACGGAAACTTTAATAAGCAGATCAATATAAAATGAGTTTGTAACTACTTACTTCGCCCATGGAAAACTGGCAATATCTACAAGGACATTATACTGTGCCGTGTGGCTCGGTGTGGCCTTGTACTTATAAAGTATAATTATAAAACGAATTCCAGCTGTTTGGAAGGCACCCACGTGCGACTGAACACAGCACCTGCCCCACAATAATGCCACAGCCACTAAATACACAAGCTGAACAAACTTTAGCCACCCAACTTGACGACAAATGATGGTTCACCTTATAGATCGATAGCGACATCAGTTTTAAAATATAACTATGGTAAACTTCAAGTTTTCTTATAATTCACTTAGTCTAAAATTATTTTTCTATTGATATTGCTGTATTTCGAGTCTTTCAGAGATTTGCTTACATTTTCAATAAAATACAGTCGAATGATATTTTAACTCGCAACCCACGGATCAGAGCGAGGGTAGCCCCATGGGGTTGTTCTTACTCTATTATCGCATTTTTTGAAGCTCACAGACTGCGTACATACCGTGTTGCCTGTTTTGTTTCAGTTGTTTTTTTAGTGAACATTTGGACATCGTAAAAATACAACTGGTTTTTAATTCTTGTTAGGTACGCCAGCCGTGTTCGCTAAATAAAAAATCTACCCACCTAACTTACTCGCTAGTAACTTTTTATGAAACTGAAGGTGCCTCCGTAATCTCGACTTGAATTGAATCACAATATTAAATATGCAAGTACGAACTGGATTTTCCGTTTAGGAAAGAATTCACATGCAGGTACGATGACCTGGATCGTCAGAGGTGGCCAACAATTAGAATTAGAGGAGTGCGGGCGGGCGGGCGCGTTGGGCGGGTTGGGCGGCCGCGGCGGTGGCGGTGGCGGCGGCGGCGCGTCAGTCGGCGTCCGCGTCCCGCGTCAGGTCGCCGCCGCCGCGCGCCCCGCGTGCTATGAGTGGCGGGTATTATGCCGGCGCCGCAGCCCCGCTCCGCCCGCGCCGCTCCAGCGCGCTCGCCGGCCGCCAGCGCCGCCGCCGCGGTTGCCGCGCGCCGCCTGCACCACACCACCCTCTACAGCGTCTACAGCGCCGACAACATAACGCACGCTATTACACGTCTCACGTCTACCGGAATGTAAATATTTATGGATGTCAGTTTTCAGTTGTTTAGATTGGCTGTGAATTTTAAGGTACGTAACTAATGTCTGGTGTTTCGATTTTTGCACGACATTATTTAGACAAACGATTGTGTCGATTGAATAGACTAAATTATGTCGATTATAAAATTTAATAAATAGCATGTCTGTTCAATATCGCATTGTGCTTTGTGCCTTTGTACATAATTGCTGACGATGACTTCGATTTTAATGGCGCTCGAAGTACCCTTCTATATTTGGATCGATAGTTTACCATTAAACGTAGGTAGCATTAGTCGAACAGATTTTTCGCATTACATTACGTGATTAAAATATGACGGCGGTAAAGGACAGTGCGCCGCCGCGAACATGCCAAATTGATATTCATAACAATTTAAAAGCTCTCGTAAACTTTAATGAATGTCAATCAATACCTATTAGTCACTCAGTTGAACTTTTATTTTCACTGGCTTTCGCATAACTTTCTTTCAAAAATATTCTCACGCTAATAAGCACAAAAATATCTATTTGAACTTATTAGAACTTGAGAAACTTTGTAGTAAACTTTTTTGTTACAGTTTCTTTAACTCTTTCAAATAAAATCACCATGCAGTTGTCTCATCGCTACGCCCACATACTTAGTTTACGTGCATTGCTAAGTTTCCGAGTTAGTTAGACAGGTACAAACAATACAATAGCATCACTCTACATCTACATACTCGCTGCCACTCACTACAACATAATGTCCTTCTTGATGTCACACAAGAGCTAAACGACATTTGAATTATATTCAATTGCAAAAATCGAAAATTAAATCTTCATTGTTATTGAAAATAACATATTCATTGGCATAAAATGTTCAGGTGAAAATGAAATCGACAAGGCGTGTTCGGGTACATGAAGATGCTATACGCCATAGGTAATATATTACCATAGTTTTTATTTTATTTTTCTAATAGTAGACCTTGCGTAGCCAAGATAATACCTCCTACCTGTTTATTTACCACTAAATTATTTTTGTCCTTAGCTGAAATATTTTAACTTGAAAATAATTCTTCTTACCTAACATCTACCTATTTTATTTGCTGTAGTATTTAGTGTAAAGTTATGAAAACTGATTAGATACACTATAATATAAAACCCATGAAATAAAGCACACGTCCATCAGGGTGTGAAAATGTACTAATATACTTACTTATAATTTATTATCCCTTCGAGTTTCGTTCAATCAAGTTTCTATGTCAATGTACTCTATCTTTTGTACATAAAACTATATTCAAAGCTATCAATCACTTAACCCAATACTTTACTTTCACAGAATGTGTGTTCCTCGTTTATAATAAATAACCTAAAATAATAAACTTTCAATCCAAACACAACTTCTGTAACTTGAAACTGAACAAACGTCTCGTTGTATGTATATTTTCTTTGCAATATCAATGAATCGCACTTTAGTATTAGCACGTTACCAAATAGTAGCTAGGTTAGCAGGTACTTATACCATAGCACACGTTTCTATTACTGGAGATGTCAGGCAATTTAGTTTCAACAAATTAATTTATTAAACTATTTATTTACGCAAATGGTTCATAAATTCTTAGCCGTCAAATATATACACAGTATATAACATATAGAGCACTATAATAGCTACATAATTTATTGTGCGGGAGGCTACCACGGCTATAAATATGTATAACAATCTACCATGAGGGTTTGTTTCACCATTCGCGGATCAGTTTGTGTAGTAAGATAGATAACATTTATTATTACGAATTTTAAGGTTGAAATATTGCCACTTAAATAAATAAATAAATATCAAAGGTAATAAATAACAGCTAACACCATGCAACTTGTGAATTAGAAAAAAACATACTACTACTTAATTTTTTCTTTTTTAATTTTGATCTAATTATTGGCCCTTAAAATGATAAAATTTTAATTGTATTTATAACAGTAAAACACGCTTTCCTGAAAGTCATACTCGTAGATACGCAATCGAAATGACATTAAAATATGTTAGTTAATTCCTTTCATTATCCCTCATGGAACAGATGCGAAGTGTTTAAATAGGTACCTCTTCAGTTTCATAACACTACCCAATTTGTGTCAGGATTAGATTGATTTTGACAAATAACTAGGTTACAGCACATTAACCACTCGTTGCCGTTGTAGGAACAAATATCAATACCAAGAAATAACAAAACTGCAAGCTCATAATTAGAAGCTAATGCATCCAATTATGAGCATTCCGTGCCTTTGGCTGCCGCAAAAACGACTACAGGCTTTTATCAGTACTCACTGATTATCTTTTTGCGATTAACAATCTGGCCGGCTAGCTCTGTGATTACGACATTATCTGCACAAGATCGTTGGTTGAAGCGTTTTATAGCCGAGACCCATATCTAGCAGTGGACGTTTATGGGTTCCGATTGTAATTTTCAGCGCTTTAATTAAGTAGACCGAGGCGACCGCTATAAAAGTACGAACAACGAACTGATTTTTCAGTTTGGACTTCCCCAGTATTTGTATTCTATTAAAAAGAGAGAGATTATGAAAATCGAATTTAACGTTGCATACTGTAATAAAAATATTTTTCCTGTTGCAGAAATGTTTTATATTTTTAAGTAGTTTTATTTTCATCCTTTTGTTGGCCCATTCTCGTCAATGTCCCCCTCTCGTAATCGGAAGCTTACTTTGTTACGTATGGGATACTGGCATATAGTTTATTCCTAATATACGCATAACAGGGTTAGATATGATCACTGTTTGATACAATTTGTACCTAATTGCCAGTGATAGCAGCTGCCAATCCAACTAACATTGTACGTGGGTAATTTCTTAAAGCTCCCACGGGAGCAGGCTTATTCAGAACTGGGCACCGTACAGGCTCAACATGACATACACCTACCTAATGAATATTGCTATTGGATCCGAGTCATGTCTACTACTGAACATGGCTATTGTACACTATTTAGTAAAATATGAAAGGATTTATATAGGTTCTGTCCACAATTACGCTCACGTCGTAAAACAAGAACAAGAATTAGCTTTCACTTTATTAAGCATAGGGATTCCGTGATAAGGTCAATATTTGAAGATCCGAAATTACTAATTATAATTTACAATTCAAACTGAAAGCAAATAAAAATTACTTGACTCAATGTTCCGAGTTACGAAGCAATTAGAAGACTTAAAACGTAGGTAATAAATATAATTTACTAGCAACATTAAACTATATTTCATAAAATATTTAATTGTTAGAGCTGCATAAAAGGTTGTACGTTGCTATGCTGGACATATAACCACTGAATGACTGAAAAAATGAACTTAATTACGAAGTCACAAAATAGTAATTTGGTTAATACATCGTCATAGCGTTTGCAAATAATTCATCTGACGAACATTATACCGAAATTCAATTTGGCAACGAGCGATTTGTCACGGGTATAATTTGTCGACGTTCGTTCCACTGAAAAGAACATTTACCGCTAAATCTGTTTCATCACCCGCTGAAGTGAAAACCAAGTAGATTTTTCATGCGTAAGTAATTATATTAGATTACGACTTCTTTGAAATATTGTGTGCGGTAGCCAATCAAAAAGGGGACTAGCGATGTTTGTTTCTGACGGTCACTCACTCATAAAAAGAGTTCTAGAGCTGTATAAAATATTGAAAAGAGACCCGTCAGCACTCGACGAGCCGTCCATTGGAAAATTATGTTTGTGAGAATTTTCTCCGTTTCTTGAGGAAATGTTGAGCTGATATAAAAACCTTTCAGCGAATATTTAATAATATGGACGTAATTTGATGTTATTTAACATGAAAGCTGTAAATGGATACTTTTAGTCGGTACTTATCAGAAGCATTACTAAATAAAAGTGTGCCGACGTACTAACTTGCTGTTATTGGGAACTAAATAAAAAAGCGATAAACACGATTAATTCATGTAAATGATCATCGTCATTAACAGGCAGAGAGATATATAGTATCGATAATATCTAATAAAATCGACTTTTAACTGCTCACACGGAAGGATTTTTAATTACTCTCTTAATAAAGGGTTACGAAATGATCTATTAACGAATGCTGTCTCCTTAATGGATGTAGTCAGGTGACCTAGATCACCGAGTAATAATAGCGTGACCATCTGCAAACAATTACTGCGGGCAAGCACAAGATGGAATCCAATATAATTTATGGATAGTAAAAATAAGATTGGATCAAAACGTGATCCCTAGGGATCGCACCGGCACGAGGTCATTACAACCATTGACTCGTGTCTGTTTTATCACTACCTACGCTCTAAGTCTGTTCCCTCTAGTATATCGGGAAATAATCTATTATATCACCTCTCACTATTCGAATGTTGTTTCGTTTCGACTAATGATTTATTTTATTGTAGACGTCGTTATGGACAGAAACAATTTGTTTCAACACTATTAAGAATCGAGAGCGATTGGAAATAAAAAATAGAGCTCTTTTTGAAGTAGTCAGTAGTTAACAAATATTATCTTCATGTACCTAAATAAATATAAATTGTAAATCGCGTATTAACATTTAAACAAAAGTCTCAAGTCTAAAGCCTTTTATAATACCTCGCATAATACTTATTTGGAATTGTAAACATCGAAATGATACCTCATGATTCCCAGTCTCAAATAAGATATTTTTTACAGAACAATGCAATTATTCTTTTGTCAGACCTCGGGACGGACTGAGGAAGGGCCTCGATGTTCTTACTCGTTTCTAAAGTTCAATTATTTTAATTCTCTAATCTTTACTCTCGAACAGATAGCTTTATAGACATTATATATAGACATTATAAAAGCTTCGAGGCAACACTTAAATTGTAGCAAAGTAAACAAACTCGCTAATTTTAATGCCAAATCATAAACAATAACAAAAATTACAATAAATAACAAGCACGCACGTAATATTGACATCTCCAATAAACTACAACATATGCACGCCATCACAGAAACTCATTTAGTAGCATGGCTAATTTTCACGCCAGTGTAATTAACTTGCAAGGTATACACGATATTATATTCATCGTGAGCTGAATTAAGGGCAAAACTTTGACACGGACTTTGATGTCGGCTTAAGTAAGTATACCGTCTTCGTCTTGTTTAAGTATTATGCCGTTCTCGAAGAGGACTTATCCTGTAACTGTCACTACAAAGTTTCAATACACACTTACCTATTTTAATCAATATAGCAACTAAGTTCCTCCCGAAGTCAATTGCCAAGTTGTCCATTTAGCTACGAACAGCGCATAGTAGCAGGTACATAAATTTTCGTAATCACCTTCTGAATAAATTTCTACGATAAAGTGTCGTGAAAACAGCTTTTACTTAACCCAAAATTGTGCCTAATTTTGTATGCTTAATTTGACATTGAGGTCACGTTATACATTCACTAAATATTCACACAATATCCCATGGGGCGAAAACAAAAAAGAACTTGCCTATTCAAAACTCGTTTATTTATGCATTTAAGTAATTAACTACACGTTTGTAAATGCACAAGTAGAAAATCTATGTTTATACCCATTATGATAGGATATGTACCTATACAAAGGTTAGATAACACCTTGATATTTTTATCTTGAGAAGTTCAATCGTTATGATCACCATAATTTGTATAACTTTGAAAACTGTAATTAGAATAGATTTAATTAAATGAGGTAGCGCGAGCGGTAGGCTAACCTACCTCTCAATAACTCCTTATTATGTGGTTGAGAATTGAATTCCTTTGTTCTAGCTTCATAGATTGGTTATGTTCGTAAAGCTACGTACTAGTAGTTTTTGTTGTGAATGTTTGTGTATGACTCCTATATGAAGCGTAGCGTAACTTAATTATGCAAAACCTTTTATGGAACCAATATAGAACATTTTGGCTGAAAAAGTATTCTGCAATATTCACACAAAAGGTATTTTAGTACAGCTGTGGATATATTTATACACGTATAAGTTACATTACGCTTCGTAAAGGGTAGCAACTATCCAATTTCATAAAATGAAAGCTGACGCGTAGCGGTTGGTAGCTAGAAGTTATACGATGTTTGTGGATAGCATCGTCTCCGGCGAGGAGAGGCAAGTTTATCGTCACGATTTCATCGCTTTTCCGCCGTGTTGATAAACTGAACTGTAGTCGCGCCAACGGGCATTTACGATACGTACCGCCACCAACTTGTGATCGTATGGCTCACTGCAATAACGAATCAACATTAATTGTTGCCATTTTGCAAAAACAGTTAAATTCAACCGCATATTCCACATCAAACTTACAACTAAAGGTTTTACTACGTACCTATAACAACCGCTTTCACTCAGTTTTCTTTCCAAACAGTGCATAATGCGATGGTAAAATATTGTTGTGTACTTAGTATATGTTAGAAAAGCATTAAGTTTGGGTCGGTGTGGTGGTAATTAACTTTATAGCTATAATGTTTGTGTCGGGTTGGTTTGCTTAGTTTTGTATTTTGTATTTGTATCGTACATCAAACGCCGCAGCAGCAGAACTGAACAAAGCACTCGAAGTTTCCACGGCACGCGATTTTATTGAATTTAATTCCGCAAAAAACGTTGTTTGCGCTGTTATGTCAATTCGAATGTTTGTCAGTTTTACAGGAATAAAGCAGTAACTGAAAATAGAACTTAAAATCTAATAATAAAATTAAATACTGTATGGCTATAGTTTACCTGAAAAATGATGTAGAGACGAAAAGCGGCTTTTTATTTTAAAATTTTGTCAAAATATTCAGTCGGATATTAATATATTTCTCATATATTTACTGTTATTATATTTTTGCTCTTATAATTATTGTTTAATCATATCAAAGCGCATCTAGAAAATAAAAAAAAATCGTAATTACAATATCAAAATACCAATTTACAAATAACCTACTATAACAAAACGAACACATATAAAACCAATCATTGCTTTCTGTTGAGCACATTTTTTATTATAATTTGAGGAAGCACGCACTCAATAAGATCTAATTTTTACCGACTTCATTTATCGTACTTATGTGTAAATTCACAGTTAGTACACGTTGTACAGCGGGTAAACCCATTGCTAAATACAGGCCGGCGGGAGACCGTCGTTACTTATAATCCCGAGGGCAAACTCTTCTAATAAATTACCAACCCTTAAAATTTTAACTGCCGTGATTGCAGGCTTCAATTATAATTCCTTTTACAGTTCCAATTAATTATACATAACGAAGTTGCTGGTTATATCACAAATATTACCAACAACAAAACCGACCTCACCGCACATTTGGCACGATCCCTGTTTAGGTACCTACGAGCTACAAGTACAATGGACTTGCAACAGATGCATATCAAAGGCCGCCAGTTAAGTCGGTCTGTAAGTGCCCTACTAGCAATTAATTAGCCGGGCGTTGTGGCCCGATTCTGTGGAGTTGCGGTGAGAGTTGGCACTTGTGTGCGCAATGTTACACCTCTGCTGGCAATTGATTTGGTTGATGATAGATGACAATATGTGGTGCGGCTCGGTTGAGCGTAGTTGCGGTGTCGTTGGTTGCAGTGAGTGTAAGAGTGGCGGCGACCGGCTGGCGACGCCGCGGATGTCGCTACTTGGCAAACCGCTCAGCTACCGCGCCACGCGACGCGACGCGCGCTACCGCCGCCTTCAGTCCAAGTTCTACAATTTCCTTGAACGGCCTAGAGGTGTTAAAGCTGTTCTTTATCATATGATCGTGTAAGTTTTATCACATTTCAGAACATTTCTAGGTACTCAAACCATTTAAATATTTCGCGTCCAACATAACGCTTATACTTATGAAGCGTGAGTTATTTTATTAATATAAAGTTATAGAAATCACCGTAAATTCATAACGTTCATAGACTGTAATGTTTGATAAAAGCCGGATACTCCGATATCAATGTTTTACAGCATCAATCACACGTAGAACAAACAAATGACAGTGTAACGCGTTGTTTACACTCGCCACTTCCATGACAGAATCGAATATCACACAAATGTAGGTACATATTGTCACTGACCATAGGATGACACAAATCTTTAACTCTGTCATATTTCCTCAACAAGGGTTCATCAGAGTGTTCATTTTATACAGCTACAGTTAACACTTAAACTATTTCGACAAATATTTATAGTGAATTTTTAAATATTGAAATAAACTGTTTATCCTCTCACTAAAAGACCAATATTTAATAAACTATGCGTCAAACTAGTCTCTATACACTTTATTCATAAACTAAACACGCGCAATTTTCCAGACCATTAATGTGTTTATCAATGTGTAGACATCTCAATTCGCCGACGCGCATGAATTTTAAAAAAAGAAGACGCCTAATTGAATTTGTTATTTTAAAAATACTAAAATAGCATTCACCATTATAATATTGCCAAGAAAACTACGTTGAGTTACAGTTGAGTCGTGGTTTATGACATCATGACACAATTAACACGTGTGTTTATTCAACATGCATGTCCCAGAATACATAAAACTTAATCACCTTACTTATCCGGTATTTTATGTCAAACATATTATCATGAAACAGTCATTTACAAATATCAAGGGAAGTAATTAGTTGTTCTCATTGTAGAATTGTTTGGCGTGTTCACTAGTTTCAAAGATTATTATAATTAAAGTGGAACAAGACTGTTCTTACCACTCAGTCTTGTTGGTATTTTTCAATATTCACACGAATAGGTATCCATTATACTTAACTTATAACATCGCTGAACAATACAATCCGTTTAAAGCGTTATTGTTTCTTCATTAACGCTGTCTTTGCCAGTGTCTCAGTAATTATGCGCTACGTCATCTCTGGCCATCACAATGCAGAAATATATTCATATGTCTGTGCGGTTTTAAAGAAATGTATAATAATTTAAATAATGCGCTAAAACAGGTCTTAGAGTGTGAATGAAAATATTTAAACTTCCAAATAAAATAACTCACGTTTAATTAGCTTTTAAAATTCTATAATCTGAGAAATAAAGTTATAACTACAACATCATCTTAATTATAAATTCCGTATCTTTCCGTGTAATGAAATTCATGCAGTAACACGCTTACAGCTGTAAATCGCAGGAGTTAAATAGGAACATTCGTAATTCCATCCGACAATCAACTAACATATTCACTGCCGAAATTCGATTACGTCAGATTGTGATCGCTTTACCTGCAATCCAACGTCCTACATTCACGTATTTACTTTATGTTCATAAAAGTTTAAAGGCAAATTTTCTCTGCACAGATTTCTGATGGTGTTCATGTGTTTATCGCTGTCAGTTTTCTCAACAATCGAAGAATACGAAGCAAAAGCAGGAATTGTCCTTTTCTACATGGAGACAGTAGTTGTAATTTGGTTCGCTATCGAATTCTTTTTAAGGTAAGATTTTCATTAACAGCCACTTATCATAGCTGCCAAACCGCTGTTGAATTAATGTGATGAAAATTGGATTCTGAATTGTTTATGAAATTCAATTTGCGCTGTAGGCAAGTTCTCTTTCAATACTATAAACGGTGCACAAAGAGCTGCCAATCTCGAAAGTTTCAATTCGACTATCGTTTTACAGCGGCTGTGTTTAGTTTGTGGATACACACAGCAAACAACACTCTCATAGATAAGTTCTGAGAGCTTTGTGCTCGTGAAGTAGGTAATTCGTCACTCAATGTAGACGGATTACTCTGCCTACAGTGGGCTCCCAGTCCATTATTTTCTTTTGTTTTATTTATTTTATCTATCTATCAAGCGCTAGAGTAACACAGTAACGCGGGTCAGCTGCACAATGACAGTGACACGCCAATGAGATCAGAGTTCCTTTCGTTTTTATCATATGATTCAGTTCCACCGACTAACAACTAAAATAACGGCGTTGAATTTCGCATGACACGCGGTCATAAATATATATATTATATTTATATCCCAATTTGTAATCGTTTCGATGTTGAAATATTTTTGTGTGGTACCTTGACACCAGATTGATTGATTCTTTTTCTTTTGTTTTACATTTAGTAATACATATAGGGTAATTACGCACAGAACTTGCCACCTTGTGATTACAACCGCATTTAATTATATTATTTTTACAGGTTATGGTCGTCAGGATGCAGATCCCGGTATCAAGGCTCAATAGGTCGCCTCAAATTTTTGAGGCGACCGTTTTGTATTATAGGTAAGTCCTTTGTAAAGTTCTTTTAATTATACATACCTATTTTGAAAACCCAAATCATGAATATCTACGAATATATCTTGTATAATGCCACACTAGCGGATTATGAAACCATCTATTGTAGCTAAATGTCCTTAGGGAGTTCTCAATCATTGCTACTCAGCGAGCTGCAGGAACTTAGAGCACTATTGCAATAATATGCTTCGTGAAAACTATATGTTGATATTATATAGCGAATACACTACATTAAAGTCAACTTTTGTCATACTGTATACCTACACTCATATTATTATGTAGAAACAGTATTTCAAACGTTGTTTACCCGAATAAAAAGTGCTACGGTGCGGTGGCGTGTCAAAAGACAAACAAAAGACTAGATAAAACTCACGGCGACTATATCAAATAAACAAACATGGCATACAAAGGACAAAACAGAAGAAATACAATTCTCAACGACCTCCAAAAATCGTCAAAGAAAATGTCTAGAGAATGCCAAACAAATATCATAAAAGGGAGTTGGAAGAAATGCGCCCTATGTACTTTCATCTTCAACATTTCCAAGTAAAAGTCACGTTTAGTCTATAAACCGTGACGAAGTGACCCTATTTTAGGTGCGAGCAATCCGCTATGACCTTCGCATTTTCGGGCTGGTCTCCCTTGACACCAGTTTCGTGTGACCGCTTGGCGCTCTCTGGGGAGCCGGCCTCGCGAGACCGTACTACCGCCACACATAGCCGCACGATATTGCCGTCGACGACAATAAAATGAACACTACCATCCTACCCCATTATATATTAATGTTAAAGCACAAACATTCGCGTGGCAAACTAAGTATAGCCGTGCGGCCCGTTTGTTTCAAATTTAAAATTAAAAACTTGATTTCTGTTGCAAAACCAATTAACGGAGCCTTTCATAAAATTTATAGAGGCTTAATAGTCAATCTTAATATTATAGAAGGCGAAGTTTCTTTACTTAAAACTTCATAGGGGTTTGTACACGTAACAACCGCATCTATAAGGAAGTTTTAAGTAGCTATTGATGTTTTCGGACACTAAAATAAATAACTTGGACCAAGAGGTTAATGGCATTGTTTTTCTTAGAAATCCCAATCTGTAACTTACGATGTAATTACCCCTTTTCCTTTTTCCTGGATACTAGTAGGTAGACACGAAATGGGATACCTCCCGACTCCATGCATAAATATTAAAACACTTTCTGTCTAAATTTCCTTTGTTCGATTTTTCTTTTATTTAATTTATGGACAAGCAATAAAATATTTACGTCATGATCTTCTGGAAGCTGTTTGATTATGTTTCAACTTTCCTGAAAAATATTTTTGTTTCACAGATTACATTAGAGAAATAGTTTTGGTATACTTGAGGGTATACGAGAGGATACTTGAGAGTGTTTGCTACTTTGTTATATTATAAATAAGGACAATTTTATTATACAGGGCATTCAGGTTACCGGAGGTTACCGGAGGCCCAATCCTTCCCGTTCCCCAATCCCTCCTCAATCCCTAAATCTCCAAATCCCTAATCCCTAAAAGGTAGGCAACGCACTCGTAACTCCTCCGTTGCGAGTGTCCATGGGCGGCGCTGATTGCTTACCATCAGGTAATCCGTCTGCTCGTTTGCCGACCTATTACATAAAAAAAAAACAGATATTTATTTCTTAGTTAACATCATGCCATAAATTTAAAAAGCTTTTTGTGTACAGATGTAACAACAATATTGGCATCGGTAGTGGTGCTGGGTATGGGTTCATCGGGGCAGGTGTTCGCCGCGTCTGCTCTGCGTGGACTGCGATTCTTCCAAATTTTGCGCATGGTGCGCATGGACCGACGCGGCGGCACTTGGAAACTCCTCGGCTCCGTAGTGTACGCACATCGACAGGTAATTAATTAACCGTAACGATAATATCACGTTTACTTATAGCTTATATTCAATATGCCCTAATGACAGGTTACAGAACACACAAAGAGATAATGGACTCATTCGCTGAATAACAATGAAAAATGACAACGCTTTGTCGAATAACACCGGGATATAATAAAACTGAATTGGCTACTCTCTCTATCAATTGTTCTTTACTGAAAGCAGAGATGTTTCTTATTATATGCGTAATTTGGGAACGAACGAGATTATCTGACTTGTCTATTTGTGTCGATCTTGAAGCCACAATTAAGTAATATGCGAATCGGTGTAAACCCTTTTACGTCGCACTCAACTTGCTCAAATCCGTACGACCAAATTATATTTATATAGTTATACCACAGTTATAGTTACTGTAGAATCACCCAAAGGGCACACAGCTGTACAATATTACTCGTAATCTAATAGAACTGATTCGAGCGGATTGACGCTACACGAGTCCCACTGCGAATTGTTTCCTTATATGTATATTCACACAACCATAGCCTGGGGGTAAACAATAAAGACTTTTTATCAACTTACTTACATACCGAGATGTGATGTTTTACATTGTAAATAGAGGGTGAAAAGAAAGACGGCAGTAATCAGACCGCGCCACGTCGAACAACAACAAAAACATAAAATAAAATGCCAGTCGATATTGGTGGATCTATAAAGCTATCAACTAAAGCGCAAATCGTGTAGCTACTAAAGGCTATACCTACTTTTATACATGTGTCTGAGGCAGTTCTTTGTGAAGCATTTTTCAAGAAATTTGCATAGCTAGGCCACGACCAACTGCGGGAAAACGAACGGAACCGTAATCTAGTCTACTCGCCGCCACACAATAGGCGCCATACATTACATTTATAACTTTGGCCATGACGAAGGTAAGCCGAGCGGGATATACAACTTCGACACATGTTTTGGTCAGGTTTCAGATCAGAAATGTAACGGATTAATACGAAAATACCTCTCGTATTGTTTTTGAAATCTAAAACCCTTTTTTGTCTGACGTTGTCTAACTTTGGTTTGATCCCAATTTTGGTGTTTGTCAGAGAATTCACTGTCAAAAAATCTTGCTAAAAACCGTCCATTGTATTTACAAATGGCTCTCTTTTTTAATTAAAGTTCATTTTTCTCAAAGCACTGACCGACAAAAACCGCAGACCGCTTTGAGCTGAGTGAATGCGAACTAGTTCGGTCTCGTCCGCTCTCAGCATAAATATAAAACTAAATTGTCATACACATTGTCTATTATTCGCTTACACAAACAGGAAACACTCATGAACTTCCCGATCTATCTTATGACCTCTATATTTTAGTATTCCACGTAATCCCAAATACAACCTTCATACTTTGTAGACTCTATTAGTCGGTTAAAAAACACTTACCGCTTACCTGTTTGAAAGGAAAATATATTTTATAATTCTTGTACTAGAAACTAAATAATAAATATTTACGAAAAATCTCGGCAACTTACAGAGTCAGTTAAATATGTGCTGCGATTGAATGACAGACTGACAAAACTAAATCTATTATTGCTATACGCAGCGAGAATATATTCCTACGCCCGAGCTTTACGACATGTTCCGTCACGATAAGGGCCCCAAATCATACACAATTCAATTTTATTTCTTACTGCGACGTACGTCATCAATTAATGTTACACAATTTACATTCGTTATGTTTCTACGCGCATATATTATTACTAGGAGTGTACTTATCCTGATATAACGATCATTTATCACGTTAACTACCTATCAGTAATTAACTTTGCCTAATTTAATGAAGTAGGTACTAATTTATGAAAAGTGAATTAGGTAATACCCGCATAAAACACCGAACATAACTGTACAATGTTAACAAGATATACGTCTTAAGAAACGTAATTACTTTTGATTAGCAGACGTTAAACATAAGTATGCCAACACAGTTCTCCATATTATTATACTTACGAATACCAACCTGTTTTTCTATCCGTGAGTAATCGTAAATAGATAGTCGAGTGGAGCACTTTTATATGAATTTACGTAACGGGTATTTAACGAGATACTAATGAAGTGTAGTGATCACGACCCTCAATATAAATAAACGGAATGTTGAAAAAACCATAAAAGTGTCAACAATATTTCATTGTAAATGTTTGTACAGTTAGTTACTATAATAGAATTTTTCTCAGGCAAATTATATATTTAGCATTTGCTCAGTGATTCTATTACGGCCACTAAGTAATGCACTTTGTACATCTCCTTTGAGATGAATATGCTACTAGATTTATTTAGTCCTTGTTTATTTTCCATTACATAAATTACTTTTAAATATTCTCATCTATTTTTAACCTCAAAAGAGATATGCAGTATTTGACAAAAGTTTATATATAAAGTGTATTTTAGGTATATGCAGAATAGTAAAACCATAGTTAGAAGAGGATAAGTTTCGTCCTAATCGAATATAAAATGTACTCTCGCATAATGAACGTTAAAATATATCTACGACACAATGTATCATAAGTATGGTTTTTTATCTACTAAATATTAACAAACTTATAGTGGACACTTATACAAATGTTCTAACAATTCTAAAATAAAATATATAATATGCTATTAATACAATAAAACATTAAACATTCAAACGCCATTTGACGTCGTACACCTATGACACATGCACCCATGACGTAAAGAGCCGATAAAAGGATGAGTGTTAGAAACGTTAGAAAATTATCACCTCGACGTTAAACACATAAAGGTCAAAGATATAAATGTGTGCGGCCCACGAGTAGGAACTGTAATTCCATGTATTAATGATAAAAGTAACCGTTGAATTATAACTCATTAAGAACTTGTTTTAACAGCTGAATCTGAAAAATAAGTGCCTCTGGCAGTGGTGTAATTTAATTACATTTCTTAAACCTGTTAAAAATACAAATCCAGTCTGTTTGAAATTTTAAGGGGTTCTATTATTAACTGATTTTATTGTTCGGTTATAAATATACCATACGATTTTCCCATGAGAAAACTACTATTTTTGCTGTTCCATATTCCATATTGATGCATATTTCATAAATGAGGGCCACAGCGCACCGGTTGCAAATAGTCAGCACCTCGCCTTTACCGTACCTTTCAAAGGTCATCAATATACTTCTCACGTACAATTATTGTTGTGAATGTTCATTAATATTTATGGGAATTATTCCTTACCCTTGAGCATTAGATTTAATGGATGTACGAGAAGATACTGTGCTGTATTTCAATCGTATCTGTTGACGAATGTATGTATGTGGAACGAGGCCACAAGCTTGTTACAAGTTACAATTCGTTGGTAATGTCCTCTTCCTATCGTACTTTGTCATTTTTAAAGCCTCTGCTTCCCATATACCTAGATATACATATGAAAACAAGATAACGTATGTAAAAACTTAACTTTCCTCGTTCCTGGATTAAAAAGTAGGAATTTCTTTTCCACGCTTGCACAAATATAAGCGCATAAGTGCAGACTTCAGTTCTCGCATAAGAGCACTAAAACTGCACCAACAAGGTAATCATAAATATAAAATGTAAAATGAATTTCTAAAAAGTCGAGCGTTTACCCGAGATAGCTCTAAAAAGAAAAATGATGTAAATTAAGTACCCACTGCTTTTCATTTCCGTGTTTTCTCGTCACAAAATGATCTCTCTGCGAAATTATATCCCAACGACTTCAAAGTAAAATGTTTTTTATGGCAGGGAATCCTGCGTATTCAGGTTGTTTTTTAAATCGGATGTTTATTAATATGTTAACAAGTTCAAAAGATTTTGATTTTGAATGGGAAAATATCATATAATTCGTAAATTGACAATAGTGTCTTAATTAATAATGCATTTAATTAAAATGAGTTAAGCGACACATATACTAAATTGATGTCATGGTGTGTAAAATGTACTTAACAACTTTATAGGTTCACAATCAATAACCAACAAAAATAAGATAATAAAAATTGTTCTTAAGTAATTATTTTTTTGTTTTAGAATACATTTTTGTATTAAGAAAACAAATGTGATTAATAGTCTAGAGTTCTGACTTAGTGCAGCAGTGATAGATTTCGGAATCATGTTATTGGGCATCTATAAAGTTATTTAGTGAACAGCTATAATGCAGTCTATAATAATCTATAATAATAAAAACTTAATCGTTAATAGTAGTAGTAATTCGATGGTTTTTGTTACGAGTTAATTTTTCATTTCAAAATGAAATATACACGAAACTTGACCTACTACTTGACCCGCCCAACTCCGTATAAACAATAGGGTGAAAATAAGCCTATATATTATTTCAGGCTGGTTCCTAATTCATTTTTCTTCAGATAAGTTTAACAGTTTTCAAGTAAAGAAGTAAAACCGTATTGGCTTCATTTTTAAAATCAAATTTTATTTTTTAAAATTATTCTTTTTTTGTTCCTATTATGTACATTAGCCAAAGGTTGAATGGTGCGGATGCCCATGACTTTAAATCCACCTGTGTAATGTTATGTTGTTGAAAGATAAAAGGAACATTATACTGTCCGAAATATTCCGTAGACTCCGTAGCTGTGATCGAGATCGTAGCAAGTGCGTAGGGACTTTCGTAGCACGCATCGCCCTTACGCGTAGCAGGTGCGGCCATTGTAGCAATAAGGATTACCGTTAATTTTTTCACCATGTGGCGCTAATGTTGCGTGGGGTAATTTTTGCCCACTCATTTTAGCTGGAAATTTTTACTAACTACCCAAAAATTGTATAAAAATTGTCTTTTATATACGATATTTTGCTCTCGCGTCTGCAAAACTTTTATAGACGAAATGCATAACATACAAAAAAGCGTCTTCATCAAAGTAGCGTTGCTGAGTAAGCATTGTCAACGCTCTCATCGCAATTTCCTCCGTCCAAGTTGTGGAGTAGTGGAGGTAGTGTAGGTAGTAACGAACGTTGTCGGCTCCCCGCCAACGAGACTCAATATCTACTCACAATCACTTCAGGTTAAAGTTGCATGATCACAATGCAGAGCAAATAAACCGGAGCAACTGGCGCTTTCCTCGCTCCTACAATATTGACTTTCTGAGCGCTTCGTTCTAAAGTAAACACAAACGCCAGCATCCCGTTTCAATGCAGCCGGGTGCTAATTTAATATCTAATATCAGCTTTAATACGGACGACTTTTATTCGGCTGTTTACGTCATGAATAGTTTATATGTGTGCGGAGTTCCTTACCCTCGAGGGACGTTCGCGATACCAAACTGCTCGCGCAATATTTTAGTGTAAGTAACAATTTGAGCCACAAAATTTAGCTTTTTGACTTTATGGCTGTTCAAGAATTCGATCTCGAAATGGACATAAATATTCGGTTTTATTATCAATTTGGTTTTTATCATAATTTTTTACAAAATTCATTCACATTAAACACTAAAAATAAAACCCAGTCGCCATCTATTATTTTTAACGAAAATATTTCTTTTAAAAATGTTGCAGTAACTTGCCTAGTCAGCGTACGTAGCTCGGCGATGAAAATTTATAACAGCATGTCAGATTAATGAACAAAGGCTTTTGTTACTTAAGACTGACTAAGTTTGCCAACATTTTTACTCGGTCTATTGTGACTAATATCTTGTCACAAGCAGCAATTTGTTTTTGTTTCGCAAACAAACGTTTATATACAGACGTTAGTAGGCACATTAAATAAGATCGGTGTTTTGTCGACAAATATGTTGACTATAGTAATAGCCACAATATGTCGGGTGTGTCCCAGGGGGCTTGGAAGAACCAGTTTGCTCTCATTATGTCTGTTATGTTATAATTCCCATGCCGTACTCTAAGAAATAAACATATGGAAAAATATAACGCACATAAGAAATAATCAAATAACTCGGCGGAGCAGAAATGCGTGGTATTTCGAATTCTTCGTGTTTCGTATCCCTTTCTTACATCATTCGCTCAATGGCGCATTCTTCGGGTACATATTTGACATGCTCCTGAATTTCTTCTGAGACGTGTAAATTTTCTAGTAATGTTTCCTTGGCGAAGAACCAGTGATAAATATTTTGTGTTGGCTCTATCTCTATCTAGGAATCTAATCAGAATGCACGTACACTATTCAGTGACCCTGCTTTGTTAATAGGATCGCTGCCCTCACTTCAATACAATATTACCTATTTATTCAACTTGAAAATATATAGAGCACCATTCCGCATGTTGTTTATAGGTGTAGGTTTTATTATTTAATTTTATTAAATGACTTGATTAGTAGAGTGCTATATAAGCTTCTTTAATACATAAATCCAACTTTTAGGTAAAAAACTGCTAAGTCATAAACTATTAAACTTATAAAAGACTTTCGAGTGAGTAAGTGTCACAGCTCAAAGAATGATATAACGATATGAGAACGGTCTAATGGGCATTTTTTTGAACTTAGTGAATAATTCATTTGATATTTAAAAACTTGTGCAATAAGACTGTAATTCGCTTGGTAAAATCATTAACACAGTGATATTGATAAGTTCACAATCGCAATGGCATCTTTGAACTCTGACCTTTAGGACGCCGACGGACGTCTACGAAAGGCACTGCTACGGTCGTGCTACGCTACGTCTCATTCTGCTACGTCACGCTACGCTAACGCCATTACAGTTTAATTTCCTCTGGTTGATAAGCTATAATTATGTAAGATCACGTTCATATCGTTTATTTTTGTATTTCAAAAATGGTAATTAATTTAAATGGTACGTAATACACCTAAGCTGTCTATAATTAACGATTCTCGAATTGACTTATGCCTACTCGTAATCGTAAATTGAAGGAAGTATGTCTAAAAATCCATACAATACTGTAAACAATAATTTTGTTTCAGGAATTAATAACAACGTTATACATTGGGTTTCTTGGGCTGATATTCGCCTCATTTTTGGTATACTTAGCTGAGAAAGACGTTGCAGACACAAAGTTCAAAAATTTTGCCGAGGCTTTGTGGTGGGGTGTGGTAAGTGTTTCATTATAATTATATCCGCATCGTAAGAGTATATTAGCGTACTAACAGAATTACAATTCAATTACAATAACTTTACACGTAGACTTATGATTTTATGAATAAAAAAAATACAATGATCACAGTTCAACTAGCCGTCTGATTCATATCTTAAAATATCGTTGGTTCATAGACTACCTAAAACCTAATCAAATAGCACGTATAATCCACAATAATCACAAATGAAGTTTTGAATTAAATATACACAAACTTGTAACCGATTTACAGATTAACTTGGTTTCTTTTGTACAGGGAGTCTGGTAAAGAACGGATAACCTTGAAATGCATTTTCGTACATCTTATGGCCATTAAAAAAAAACCATAAATAGTACCTACGTAAATGATGATATCTTCAAGTAGAAGAACTGGTGCTTGAGGTAATAGAAAATGATGCTTCGATATTCACATACAATACGATATACAATAAAAATAAATTATGCACAATTTGTCTAAAATGAATTAATTTGCAAGTTTTTTATAAAAACTTTTTTTCCTATATTTTCTGAATGGCCATAAGATATACTTAAATGCAATGCAAGATTATCCATTCTTTACCGGACATCTTGTATAAGTCAGCTTTGATTAAAGTTGAAAAATAATGTATAATACATAAAAAAATGTTTAAACGTATATTAAATTGATATTGTTATTAATTAAGGCCTGCAGTTGCACATCTATGTGTAGCTTTGTGAAATCATATATACATTTATACCTATATAGAACTATAATGTTATCTGTGTTAACTTAACTTCTTAATGGTCTTAATAGTATTATATACTAAATCTTTAAAGTATTTGTGATTTTTATTGTATGTATAAGTGATTGAACTTCTTGTAACATATAAGAACACATATTGAAGCTTAGCTCGGTTTGTACTAGTAGTACTAGTAGCTGGCTCACCACCCGGCTGTTAACATGTTATCGTAATCTCAGATCACGCTGTGCACGGTGGGGTACGGCGACATGGTGCCGCAGACCTGGCAGGGCAAGTTCATAGCTTCGTTCTGCGCACTGCTTGGGATCTCTTTCTTCGCGCTGCCCGCCGTGAGAACCACTTACACTATTTAATACTCTTTCAATCACTACTTATAATCTCGTTACAAGTAAATGTATGTACCTATATACAGCTAAAGCAATTTCCCGTATTGAATGACATTTTTAGATGGATGTTAATGTGTCACTAACGTGGTTGGCAATTTCCTGTGTATCCACAACGTTTGATGTAATCGATATAGACGTATATTATGAACAGGGAATACTGGGCTCTGGTTTTGCGCTCAAAGTTCAACAGCAGCAACGTCAGAAGCACATGATTCGGCGACGTCAACCGGCTGCCACGCTCATCCAAGCTCTGTGGCGGTGCTACGCCGCCGACGAGCACTCCATGAGTGTGGCCACTTGGAAAATACACCAAGTGCCACTTCCCAGTCCGCAGGCCAGGTAGGTCATCATTAATATGATTCACAACGTGTTTGGTGATGCACTAATTGCTGTCCCGGGTCTTTGAGGGATGTGTTTTGTGATTTGTATAATTGTAATGCACTCACTACACAGGAAAAGTCCTCATATAAGGCAATGTTACCCAGTGAAGAAATAGCAAATTAAATTAGCTTCTTAGAATTTCCCGCTTTTCCTTTTTATTTATTTATAAATTAACCACATAATCAAACGTAGGTATTTTACAGATATAAAAGCCGAAAGTAAATATTGTCTGTCGAAATTGTAAACACCTATTATTTAAAAGTTAAGTATTTTGTAACAGAGCACGTACCAAAAAAACATAGAAGCAAACTAATTATAATTTGGTAGTAGGATTAAAACTTTCCCACTTTTTATTGACAAAATTTGTTGTGCCAAGCAAGTGGGGGCCCACTTACACTACAAACCTGACGCGGAACTCAACGCGCAGTGACGAGTGTGTGTATATTTGACAGTCGAGTGATGAGTGCGTCGTTCAAGAACAATGCATCCTTTGTGTCGCGCCTGCCGACTATCCGTCGCCACAAGAGTACGTCCCTGCACTCTCCAGCGCCGCACTCCAAGCCCGCGCACAGATACGACGTCAATGCCAGCGCAGAAAATCTTGGTAAGGTTATTTGCATCATGTCTACTCAATATATTTATGTACTACAAATTTAACCTACATTATAAGCCACGAACAAATGTTTCCAAATTTAACTAACGCTGAAATGACCTTTCAATATAATATACATAGGTACATTTAAACAATACATGATCATAATTGCGGTAATATAATCTTTTTTCACTTCATAAATAAACAACACGGGAAACCATAGCTAGGCACCGCACGATCTCACTCATTCTCATTGGTAAACACCACACAGCAATGACGATGACCAACAAGAGCAAATAAAGTCACTAACATTTATTCCAACCCTTAAACCAGAAAGTATTCGGATGGCAAAAACAAGATTATAATTATTACAAGAATCGAAATTGGCTGTTTAACATGAGATATAAAACAACACGAAGAAAATAAGTGGAGAAGGAAATCGAAACAAACAAAAGACAACATCGGCAAATAAACAAAGCGAGCAGATCTCTAAATATACGACAAGCTGGGACTTAACCCATCGAATACATAATAAATGTTCGCTGTCACATCCATCATGTACATACTACAAGCCATTTACTGGTGCACTCGAATCGCAACTTTTTTCAATTGCTAACACAACAAAAAGGACAAATATTCATCAACACTCTGTAGATTGACGAGCCGTTTTAATTAGCGCAGTGTTGTGCAGTGTGTGTGACATGTGAAGAGCTTAGTGGAATGGAGTGTGATGTCATTTATTGCCCTGTTCCGTAGATAATCATACGTCGGGAGGGGACCGTGCGTGTTGTCTACTACATTGTTGGAAAAGCTGCTTTAAAGGTTCTGTTATAAATATTTTAGACGGCACTATGGCATGACAATATTACAGTCGATAAACTTCCGCTGCGTTTCTTGTTGATTCTTATTAGTAAATACTTTCCAGAAATATGTGAATACACGAAAAGCGAACATGTTGACGTAGCTTTCAGCCCGGACTAAATGTCAACCTTCCGGCAATAATGGCTACGTCTCTTAGCTCCAGACACGATTGCTGACATCCTACTTACCTTCTACTTCTTTCTATTATTTTTCACTTTTTTTGGAATCAAAATGCACCCGCGTAGATTAAAATATCGCTTCGAAAACTTTACAGTACTTACTTGTACTTGTATCGCAGTCAGAAGCTTTATATACCTACATTTGACGGAGTGGCTTCTAAATAAAAATTGCTTCCGCGTATTTTAACTGCTACAGTTAGAGAAATGGAAAATGGAAATGTTACTTTCGTTAATTTATACCGACTGCAAGAGTTGCGTTCATCTAGCATCATAGATCGCGGTTCACACAATGAATTTCCAGATTATACAAGCGACCTCATGTTACTGGAATGGCTTCCTTAAGAGCTTGTAATTTTAAGTTCGGTTACATATATCTTAAATAAATAATAACTAAGTATTTACACTGCTTTGCATTTTTTATTATGCATGCCAGATAGTTCATAGGATTCCTGTAAAATATTTATAGGTATTTTATCATCACAATATTTTAAGTATGTGGGTGATGATCGTATGAGACTTTATGAATAGATCAAAGAAGTTCGATTTCAATACCAATCAGTTAACATGATCTGCTGTAGGCAGGTTGCAAAACACTTTTATGTGTCGACATCCGCCTGTCTTCACTTGTCATCGTTTCAAACGTTTCACCTGTATGTTTATTTTTGATTTCGATAGATTATTGATACACTTCAAGACACCAAACTTATCTAGGTTCACACGGTGTTTAATATTAACAAGAGATCTGAATGAACAAGAATTGTTTTTTTAAAGTAAACAAAAGTTTCTAACTTTATTACATGCTATTTTGATAATGATATTAAGACGTCTAATCTCTATATTGATTACACCAAGTCAGAATTTCGGTTTTAATTATTTGAAACAATAACCTTGTTCCGTAAAAACATTTGTACTTAATTAAGGTGTTTCTTTTTTCTTAAATAAGCATAACTCGTTTGGTGACTCAATACTTTTCGAAAATGTAGCATGTCAACTTCAAGTTAAGTCTTTAGTATAAATTCTTTCGATAAACTTTTCGATTTAATTCATTTTAATCTAGGTTGGGGTTTTCTGATCGTATTATTTTGAAAGCAAAACGTGATAAAACCGCCAAGTCTAGACTTTGCGGGATCGAGATCTTTTCTCGAGACTTTTTATGTATCTTTTTATAGCCGATTTAAAGTCTCGCGAATAAATTGAAACATCGTTGTCAGATTTACTCTTTAATAGATATCAACTTGAGAATTCGAAATTCATTAAAATAAAAAGTAATTCTTAAGACTGTTTTCGTTCTAAAAGCCAAATGAGTCATGAACAGAGTCAATAAGAATTTGACTTCTTTATGTTACTTTCGAAGTGAATTTGTAATAAAAACTAAGATAATCATCCCCTAGTGGCCATTCCGTGATCACAAAAACATGTGAAACGCCTTCAGTGTAAGTAAACAACTTTTGTTGTCATAAAACCAGCCAAGCTCCGTATTTCGACTCCCCCTTCACATTCTCGCACGTTTTATTTGTTTAACTTATACTGAGAGATGGTATGTAATATTTATTTATCGATATTCAAACTATTATCAAGGAAATAAAATAATCCCACTATCTCACATTTAGCATACTCCACATTAACAGTGCGAGCATAAATGTATTAACTCATAAACTTGGTTATGTAATCACATAAATTTAAAATTAGTCATTTTGAAGACAAGCGTTGGTAGGTATATAATTTAGGTGTCTACGATAAGCTACATTCATAAAACGTTTGCACATTAGTCAGAAAGAGACGAAGAACGGATCAATAGTTTGCCCGAGACATTAAATGGCAACCGCTGCATTGACCTCATTATTTAGGTGTTTCTTTGATGCAGCCTTTACATTTTTTATTTAGTTAATTAAAGAACAATATTCCTCAATCTTGCTCATTAAATAACGAGCCCATGACCAATTATTCTCTGTTGTACATGACACAGTAAAAGTAAGTGATGCCTGCACAAATTTATCATGGGGTCTATTATACCGCCGCACGGGACTAATGACAACGTTCCGCTTCAAAGAATAAAATATAAAAGGATTCTCCGTCCGAGATGTTTCCCACAACTCTGTAATATAAAACAAAATTAAAGGCGAATCCTACTTAGCATAAGCTATACGGTGCGGTAAATTTCATTTAAAGAATATTGTTTAAGCCCATTTTGCATTACTTGACATTTTACAAAGACGCTAGGATAATGGAAAACAAAAGTCAAAACATTAAAATCTATTGTCATTATTAACTGTATTTTCTGAGAGAGCATTCAAGTTCTTAACCTACTACCACCTACCTACGTTTTACGTGATAGAATGATCTATTCTGAATCTGAAATAGATCCTGATAATGATTTACTCGAGTTGAGTCTAAAGTTTTACTTAAATAGCGTAAAGTGTAGACGTTCTTTATCGTTTGTACCGTCTCAACAAGCAAATTAGCATCACAAAACGCGTGGCTTGCAGGCAGACAGGCGCTAGGCGGTTTAATGTTGGTTCATAGCCGGGAAAATCCAGAAATGGGACCGCGCATAAATACGCTGTATCAACAATCACTTGGTGGCTTCATAAACAGACGATAGAGAAATATGTCGGAGGAGTATCGGCACGGGGTAGGGTCGTGCAGGTCAGCTAGCCGAGTTAGTTTAGCTGGTATGGGTGCAGTGTTGAAGTGAGCGTGTGTGTGGGTCGGCAGGCGCGACGGCGGCTCGTCCGGCGCGCGCGCCCCCTGTCCAACCGGCACACAGCGAGGACTCGGTGGCCGAGACACCGCTCTCCAAGAAAAACTCTGATGGTAAGAAGTGGACAAGCAACAAATAGCTGTATTTCGTATTAGACAAGACTGATTGTCTGTTGACATGCTCTTCCTGTTGCTTTCGAGTAGATTAACATTTCTTCACTAGGTGTATGTACATACGTAGTGTATGTGGTTTGACAAGATTGTGTACATTTTAAACATTCACTAAGTATTTTCCGACACCTAGACTGTTGAGTAATGTATATCACTAAAGTTTCCACTTAGATCCGATAAATTATAATCTGTATAAAATATTTACTAACTGAATACATGTATATTGTATGTATAGCTATTGACACGCGCTTTATAATATTAGACATGGTCGGTTGCTATTGGAAACTATGTATTGGTAAGGTATTGACAATATTGTAACTTCTCTATCGGATGCACATGTTCCAGTTAGATAGTGTACGTACAAGTGTACAATATCTACACAACAATGTTCATGAATGTACTTAGCCGTGTAGTTCTGTAGCTCTTTGCATTTAAAACAACATTTTATATGACTTTAATGTTAACACTAATTTCCTATAAAATGTTGTAACAATGCCACATAGTTTTAATGTATATGTGAGTAAGCCTATATAACTTGTATGCATTAAGCATTGTATAATAATATATATCTATATAATGCATATAGCATGGATCAGTGATCTCCCTAGGCACAATAACGCATGCTACAATATGGAAATGCAATGTGTGGACTGTGAACGTGAATATCCAAAACCTACCTGTGCAATCATATGAATCACTAATTTCCTCCTTATTACAAATTATAATAATTCGAGCACGCAGCAAAACCTCCAGTTGTTGATTATATTAACCCATTTATGTTATACTTGAAAAAGCCAAACAAATAAAATATCCTATTATTTGTGTTACATTAATCTTTACGGTTTTTGTGCCCTACGCCATATACTATCTAGCAACATAAACTTCGAAGATTTGCGACTATGAGAGAAAGGCGATAACTATTCCTTTCACAATGCTTTGTGTAAATACGATTGTCCTATCAACAGACTAAATCTAATTTATGACTAAATCTAACATTTGCAAATATTTTTTTCACCCGCGTGGTTTGTTGATAAAAAGTAGCCTATGTCGTATTCCGAAGTGTATTCTACGTCTGTGCCAAATTTCATCCCGATCCGTCCAGCCATTCTGACGTGATTGAGTAACAACCATCCAAACAATCCAACTTTCGCATATATTATAATATTAGTACGAGTAACATTAGTATGAAGTAAAATAAGATGTAGAAATATTTAAGTTATTTGTTTTGATAAACAACTCCTTGGTGATGATGTAGGCACAGTAGTCAAAGATAAAATGCTGAGGAAAGCAAATAATGAACAATATTCCGACTACATAATATTTGTTGGGTACTGTTTAATTTGAAAAGACCTTGTTGTGAAGATTCCCTAATACGAATACGAATACAGCAACGTAAAGGAAAAAGAAAATGTGTAAATATAAATTGGTAGAAATTGCGTAATATTTACAATATGGCTCGCACATGGTACATTTTTGTACATAACAAAGTTGGGGAGTGGGAACATGCTGACAAACCAAAAACATGTGAATGTGAGGGTGTATTGTGCTCACCATGGAAACTTCAACGTTACATTAAATTGTTTTCCTTTAGGCGTGTCTGCCATATGAAGGTGTTTTCTGATAAAGATAAGAAATTAAAGTAACCGACCCCGTTAAAATTTAAAGCAAGACATTTTAAAAAAGTATTCCTTTTTTAAAATGTCACTTTAAAAAAGGACACATTGAAATTGACATTTTAAAAAAGGAATACTTTTTTAAAATGTCTTGCTTTAAAGTCTCAAGTCTCAACGCACACATTTAATATTTGATAACGTTGATAAACCTGTGTTGTCCCTGAACTATTATTTGTACCCACATTTCTTCTATAATGCGGTTTGAGTTATTTGGGTCCACATTGGTACCTACCCATAGGCTAAGCTATGCTCAAGGGCTTTTGTTCCCGAAATAAGGGCGTCGTTTTTCTTCAAAGCTAAATCCTTTCGTCCGCTCGGCGTAACATTTTCATGTGACGAGTGCTTTATAATCCGTGTGTCATAACATTTCCTTATCCAATATATTTACGCGTACTTCACCACGATGCTCATTAATGTGTTTACATTAAAAAAGTTTGTTTGCTCCTGACTCCTACGTACAATTTGCCCTAGTTTAGGAACCAGAGCACAATATTGTGTAAACTCTATATTTGTTACAATATATATAAGTGTTGTTATTAATATTAGACACTTATTTTATACCGTCTTCACTTTAATATGAGCTAGAATATTACTTTTCTGTAAAAATAATGTCACATAGTTGACAACAATTACTTTACTACTTACGAAGGATATTTTCCTTGGTTATTTACAACAAATAATTTCGAAAAAGTAATCGTACAATATTGAGTTTGACAATGTGACAGACGGTAAACAAAGACGTACCTACTCGTAATAACTTATTGTCACAACTTTAGAGTAGGTGTAGGAGCTAACATTCCATATATTATATTATGCGAGGATAGGACTCTGGCTGGCAACAATTGGTACATACACTGATTATTTGCTCTCGAATCGCCGTTCAAGTATCAAGAAAAAAACATTCTGCAAACCTACTCTTAAAAGGACAAGAGGCGTTTAAAGTGGAAGAAAAGGCAAAATATATTAATATGACAAATATCCTTCATAATTATATAAACCACGGTCGATTGGACATTTTTGAGAGACAATAAGAGTCACATAAACATGATAGCGGCAAAGTTTTGCCTCCTTTTGTATTGTACCTTTTCATAGATTAAATAAAACAAAAGAAAATGGGTTTTCCTCCTTTGTTTTTATGATAATACTTCTACCCTATTATCGACCAGAATCTGGAGAATTTGACCTGTGTTGGTAATAAAACTCACAAACTAAGTAATTAACCGAGTAACCAAATTAATTGTAAGTAATGTTATTTTCTTTGAAAGAATTTATGTGGCCGTGTTGTTTATGACATCACTGGCCGTTATTGTTTGACCGAGGCTCTATTTTTACAAGGCGAGGCCTATGTTGTGAGCCTACTATTAAGGTCCGAACCATAAAAATAATTTTTAGACCCGAAATGGACTATGAAATACGGTAGTGCTGCGGTTCTATTACAATTCCCTAATAGACAAAACCGAAAGTGCTCTTTTCATATAACAAATCCAAATATAAATAAAAAAATTTTGAATTTGAATCTACAAAATAAATGATTAACGTTTAACCTTAATAAACAGAAATAACAATTATTGTAATACAACTACAATAGAATGTTAATTCAGAACCCTATTTCAAAGTACAGTATAAACCGCACTGCGATCGCCTGGCACCCGACGCACATGTGCGTTCGTACACTTCGTGTGGTCAATTATGCGGTTCACTAATTTACTACTCTGTGATGTTGTGAGGAACATACCGTTGCTACTCAATTAATTGGGTAGGCGTTTTCCCACTAAATGTAATAAAGGATTGCCTTTGATGTTATATGGAAAACTAGCGCAGGCTACTAAAATGCATTTAAGTAATATATTTTTATGTTTATATCGAAATTCATACCGCAGCCTAATAAAAAGTGTATAAAAAGGTCATGTCTCTAGCTTGAACATAAAAGTCGCAGTAACACCCGCTTCAGAAGGCAGACACTCGATAGTTTCACTTGACACATTTATCTAAAGCTAAACTTTTTGTGCAGATGAAGACGAGGAGCCGCGCTGTGTCACTTTGACGTCGCGCCACAAAGCCGCCATACGATTTATAAGAAAGGTACGTTCTATTTTACAGACATTTTAAACAAGTTTATACATTGTATACTTGAAAGGTATATAATTATTCACAACGAGGTATGAAAAGGGTAGAGTGTACACAGTTCTGCTAAAACAATAATAAAACAGCAGCGTATGCTTATGAAATAATTTGAAGTTTATAATCTTGAAAACATTCGCAAATTAACACAGAGACAGACAAAATATCGTCGACTATTTTAAATAGCATTAGAATTTTAGTTCAAGGTCCATGATTTCTGGCGGTGGAGAAAATAACTCTGTATACACTGTTCTTAACAATCTATAATTAAATTTGTGATAAATACAAAAAGCTATTATTTTTAACAGATTTTCCCCTCAGACGTCTGTAAGAAACTAATGGCATCTATTATAAATTCACGGCCAATTTGATACTCCCAAACCAGTCAGACAAAAGATATAAACATAAGACATTCCATGACAAGGGCAAATAACAGAGCTAGTTACAAAACATTCTATTACATAAAATATTTCAATTCTACTGATGAACCATTTACATATATTTACAGACTTCGTGTAAATAACATCTTATAACAGAAAGAAAATAACAGAAATATGTTTTCCATTTGATATGACAAAGTCTCAAGCACAGAGGTTACGTAATTCGCAAGAGCACCACAAAATTAATTCTAAACCTTAGCTCTAGCTCTTGCGTTACTTCTGTTCTATACCTGGTTAATGAGATCTTAATAATGACATCTAACATTTAATTGAAATGCTCGAGAAAGCGGAAATGTTTAATTTAAATCTGAGAATTAGTCTAATTTTGTATTAATGAGAATCATGTAATGGACATAATTCGTAACTTACTGACTTATTAAATTCTGACAGATGAAGTATTTTGTGGCCCGACGTAAGTTTAAAGAAGCGCTAAAGCCTTACGACGTCAAGGACGTAATTGAACAGTATTCCGCGGGCCACGTGGACCTGCTGGGCCGGGTGAAAAACGTCCAGACTAGGTACTGCAGCCATCAGTGACCCATCTACACCATGCACTGCCATTGACTTTCTACATACCTACCAGCTACCTACTATACTTTTCATCTGGACTGTGTACCGACTGTGTCTTGTTGTCTTCGTAGTCAAAGTTGGCATTAAACTTACTACCTTTATACTACCTCTGTAGTTAGTGTGTGCAACGCTATACATAATGCATAACTACAGTACATTACCTGGCTGCCTCGAAATCGCTAAAATCTTTTCTTATGTCTTCAAGGAACACACGTACTTCCATTATATGTTATTCGTTTGAGTGATAATGCATATTCAATCGTTTCAGATACGATAGTTATAATTAACAATAGTTAAGAGTTTTAGGTGAACTATTAATCAAGCCAGCCGCGTTCTGTTCATTTACCTAGCAACAATTTATTCAAATAATTTACCTCAACTTCTTAGGAAAGCCTTGGTAAAAGTGATAGTCTCAATATTATAGCGATTTTGATGCGGTCTCTACACGGAAATCTTCAAAATGAAAACTGCTCCCTGCCTCTTAGCCTAGATGCCTGATAGTTTATGTGAAAACCCGTTCTTAATAGGAGAGATCCTCTGGCTGACCTGAAAGATATTCCAAAGACAAAGTAATGGTTTTATCTATTTACCTTACAAAATACATAGTTTATCTAACAAATAGTTGCTCGGTACCAATACCTACTGCATGATTGCCGATTCAAATACAATGTGTACATGATTTCAATTACACTTAAGTATTGATTAATTAACTAGTGGGAGAGATATGAATAAATTGACTTGACTTAATAGAACCTGTAAATTAGAATCTACAATAATCACTGAATAAAAGTACTACAAACAGAAACACTTCACATCTCTTGCATTCCATTACTAGGTGAACACTTGTCCATAAGAAATCGGATATTGACTAGTTATATACAAGAGCAAGGTTAATTTTGATCATTCATAATTTCAAAATTGTAATATGTGCAGACCTTTTGCCACTTTAGCTATCAGGATTATGTTTTATTTTCGTGTAGCTCAAGTATTTTGTCGCACGCAAGAGATTTAGAGAAGCATTGAAACCGTACGACGTGAAAGATGTGATAGAGCAATATTCGTCGGGACACGCGGACCTGCTAAACAGAACCAAGAACCTGCAGTACAGGTGAGATGAGAGCCGCCGCGGCTGCGCTACTCGCACTGACGTCGGTCCTCGCCGCCGCCGCCGCCGCTTCATTCACTGACCATCATCAGACCGTCCGCCTACCTGTACAAACACGCTAATCAGATTACCCGAATAAACGGCTCATCAGTAACCAGACATTCCCCTATGACTAACATAATCATCCATCCATGTATTTAGGTAGGTATCAAATTAGTTAGTTATAGAGATGGGCGACGTTATCACCGTGATTTCATTGTATTTTATGTGGTTTGAAGTTTTAGTATTATAATTTAATGTATGCATTGTGCAACCACGTTCAGTCCTGTTTAGATGTTGTGTGTAGTTAAGTACTTGGTACATAAAGTTAGTTTTATTGATGTTTCTTCACGGGTTTATAAATGTTTACTTACAGTTTGTGATACTCTGTTACCTTCTTCCGTCGTTCAAATAAATTGTTGTATAATTAAGATATTACGCAAGTGGTCTAATGTAGAATTAATTCACTAGTTGGCACTTAGAGGTAGAATGTATCTATTAGGGAAATCGTATAATAGAATTTAGGCACAGAGATAACAATCAATCTTTATTATGTACCTATGTATGTACCACTAAAGACACTTGATGAAAGAAATAATGGAATTTGTTTACATATACATAGAAAGCCGAGCATTAGGTAACTGGCAATTTGCATGACAATTAGTTTTACCAAATAAACATGTCTTCCACTGAACCCCCAACCTAGAGACGCGGACGGTAAAGATCACTCATTCGAATATTATGCATGAACAGTTTCATCTTCTTCAGATAGCAATGATAATATGCATGTGCTAAGTCAATATGTAGCATAAACATACACGACAACTAACTTAGCACATTCTTCTTAAGCTTTGCACTTCTTTCTAACTAATTCTAACCTAGTTTCTAATAACAACATGAGTATGTATGTATGAGTACCTACCTACAGTCAAATTTTATATAGTTATAGTTCATGGTCAGCTGAGCACCTTGCATTTTTACCTCAAAATAAGACGTGAACGTATACCTACTTTGCAAAAACATTAAAACTAACAAAGGGATGAAATTATTTCCAATAATGCAAACAGTCAACAAAAATTTTGAGTATGCATAAATTCGTGCCTTTAATCAATCAAATAATACTTCAATATTGCTTCCTTCTTTGTTCTTATAAAAGAAATTCGTATGGAATGGCGAATAAAGTGTCTGTTTTATTCTTCTGTTTAAATATAAATTTAACTGTACCTAAATGCTAACTTCCCAAATGATTGTGACAGTACTTTTGCGCCTAATCTGACATATATATTTTTTTTTTACTTAGATAATAATTTCTTTTTTTTCCTACAAAATAATATTGTAAATCACTTCATCTATAATATTAAAATGACTCGATAAATGTGTTGGTAAGCGCAAAACTCGAAAACGCTTGGACCAATTTTGACAAACCCTTTTGTTTTGTATTTATTATTGTCAGGAGAGAGTTCTTATAAAAGAAAATATTAGAAAAGTAGAAAGGAATATAGGGGAAAATGGACCCTTTGCGACCTGGTCCTGCGCGAATAGGGGGTGGGCCGCTAGTATTTAAATGGATTTTATTATGTATTTTATAATCAACTTTTTCTATCTGCTTTTCCTTTTAATTTGATTTAGTTATTCATAGTTGGCCAAACATAGTTCAGATGCAAAATTATTTTAAATTTTTCATGGAAATAGCTTTTTTGTTACGTCATTTCATTTGTATTATAATTATATCATTTAAGTGTTAAATGTTACGTTTGTGTTTTTATATGGTATAATAATGATTCGCTATTTGTAAATGTTTCATTATTTTACCTCCTGGCGACCTAGCGACTTGCGTTTATGTAATGTATTCCTGACTATAATGTCGGGCCTAGGTTGTGTGCTCAGACTTATATTATTTCGTAATATTCACTACCGATGTCACGCCTTATTTCAATATTTGAATTTATCACTCGAGAGTTGAGCATGTGCTGTACCTATATTTTGTGTTTTATCGTACCTAGTGTTTGTACGTGATTGTGAACTGTGTTAGTTGTTCAAATTGTCGTTTGTTCATTACTTATAGATGTCGTATGTATTGAAAGACGCGATAATTGCTCAGAACTTGACATTTAATCTAAAAAATCGCTACGAACTCATCACTTAACCTCTAGAAAGCAATAACAAAATAATTTGGAATATACCCACAGGTTAGACCAAATACTTGGGAAACAAGGATCCAAAGCTAAAGATGTCTATGCATCGAAAATCAGCCTAGCTTCCAGAGTAGTTAAAATTGAAAGACAAGTGAGTACTTTCTTTAATTTATATTTTTCCATATCCTTGTATAGAAGTTACTTTCTGTGTGTGACACGAGTAAAGCGATCGTTATTGCTTTATTTAGATTAGACGATGCGATGTATAAATTAGAATATTAATTTCTTTCAGGTAGATGATATAGAAAGTAAGTTGGATCATTTATTAGAAATGTATAAAGAGGACAGAGGTGTGCCTCGGAGACTAATAGGCAGTAGTGCCAACGGAGGAGGAGAGGGCGGTCCGTCCGGAGAAGGGGGAGTGTTGTTGAGAAACAGGCCGGCGCTGACAGACAAGCAGTGTTCTGAGCCCAACTCGCCGGTGTCACGCACCTTCGAGCCGCCTCCGACCACGGCTGCGCCCCTCGTGCCCTACAAACGGCCTATGAACCGAGGGTACTCGGACTTGGGTAGCAGATTTATGAAAAAAAAAGTGATTGTGAAGTGAGTAAAAAAATATTAGGTATTCGTAAACGATATTAAACTATTTCCAGTAGAACATTTATAATTACCAGGGTACATTGTAGTTGAAGTCCACTGTATGCTAATAAGGCATAATATTAATGACATTTTTGAAATCTAAATTCTTAATTGAATTGCAGACTTGACTAGAGTCTAATTGAACTTGTCATTTCTAAATCCATTAAAGATTTTCCAAATTAATATCACATATATATACATTAAGATAAAGGTATTGCAGCCCTACATTGTCGTCAACCCCTGAACTGTAGATGCATAGGTCAATAATGAATGTTAACAGGACGGCAAGTTCAAGTCGCAACGGTGATTCCCCTAGAGACGATGAAGTAGTTATCGTAGTGCCGGACAGAGAGGTCACACCGCCCCGACTCGTCACTGATAGCTCAGGTCGGTATATGTTTTACACACACATGTACATACTCCAACATCTACTCATTTCACTGTAAAGGCAACCCCATTAACTAACCCCACTCACAACTCCTACAAGTCACAAATATTGACATGGTTAATATGTAGAGATTACGTGGAGTGCTATGTTACAAGGCTCAAGATACATAATCATAACAAAAAATAATTATATTTTCTTTACTTGCATTAATAACTTAACACTCCAATAAATCTCTAAATTGTTCACTAAGAAACTTTTCCTCACACATCATGAAACATAACACCACTTAGTCACAAGTAGATTAGTAGAATAGCAAGCTGTAGTGAATGTGATGCTAACTTAACCAATTGAACGTCGTTGCCATAGGTATAAATATGCGAATATTACAAAATTGCAGCATCTTATGAAGATTATTCGTCGTCGACCTCTCTCTGACCGACGACTTGGGAGAGCCCCATAGTAAACGGCCGCCGCCGGCTGAGTGAGTCCTAAACCCTACCCCTATCGATGTGTGGAATGTTTATCATTTAATAGTGTCACTCTGTGTCCTCCTAGACAAGCCTACAACTTACTCCTACCACATGAATGTATCTACTAATGAAGGTGTTGTAGATTTAGTGTTAATTTCTCTAATCTTTTATCTAAACATTGTTAGGGGTTAAAGTGTCACAAAGCCGATATATATTGAATTTGGAAACAATATTTCAATTTGGAAAATACAACAGTGTCTAAGTTGTTATGATAGTATATCTAAACTAAAAAATATAGAAATGGTGTGTTCTTACAATAGAGCTGTCTAGAGACATCTTCCTAAATTAACGTCTTAGTAACTTGTCATTAAATTGTTAACCGTATAAGGAGGCTTGGCTTGATGAACATGAAGCGTCTACTTAATATATAACATTTAAGAAACTGGAAATTAAATAAAGATTTATGAATGAAACATACTTCATTTGACCCAAGCCTTGTTTGCCTCCTATTTCACCCTTCCTCCTTAGTTCTTGTTGCCAAAGTCAAGTAGGAAAAAAGTAACAAGCGTTTTCTTAAAAGGTGTTAATTTCAATATACGACGGCAAAGTTATACTTTAACACCTACATATTAATATCTTTTATTGAAATTTCATTCGCTATTTTAATAAATTATATTTACCTAAATTAAAATATATATAAGTACTACTCAACAACTTTACACGGCTCTACAACCTTTTGCTACAAACCTCCTTTTTTAAATACACAAGTGGACTGAACTGAATGAATTGATTCGACAATAGCACAAATAGAATATCAATGTTACGATCTGTATATCCGTTTATCCGACAAATTACTGCTGAACGTGCCTTTGACTAAAGCCGACTGACGCACAACGCGCAACAACAGCTCACAAAAATTTTGATTATACTGACAACTCGAAAAACTTGCAGCGTGTTTCACACTATCCATTGAAGTAGGTACTTAACAAAACACGACCAGGCTGAAATTGGTTAAAACTTAAAAGTAAAAGTATTCAGCCCCCACAATATCAATATGGCTGAATATTTTCTGAACACTGGACAGTCACGGGAGGTTAGTGTTGAAAACGATTTACGTATTATAGTATTTTTTTATTACTTCATACTACAACAATGAACTCATCTGAATAACAACAAATAACTTAATAGATAGATCCTTTAACCTTGTCTAGGGTAATTCGGTCAACAAGATTTATTGCAACAAATTGTTTATCAGAAAACTCACTTTATAACTTCGAAGGATACGCAAACAGGGATAAAATGTATAAGTATTTATTTACGGTGTCTTCTAAACTACTCTGGATTTCAGACTGCTTCTCAAAACTAAGGTACAAACCTATTTTTTTCATTTACAACACCTCTCATCAGTTTCAGCATGTGACTGTTTTGTAGATTTCCTTTACGTTTTTATTTTTGACAATTTATAATTGGTACTTACTTGATATTTATATATATATTATATATTAATTAATATTATATATATATAAATGTATACATATTTGAGTACTTACATTACCAGTGTATGGAATGTTAATGTGGTCGGTAAATTATGTTTGTTATAAAATATATTTCTATGTACTTTAACTACCTACTTAAAGTGTAAGAATATGGAAGTTATGACACGTAGACTTTAAAAGATAGCGCATACGAAACTATTTAATCTTTTATTAGAGATAGGTACCTATATTTCAAAATTAGATATTGCCAACCTTTCTCAAATTTAAAATATACACATCAAAAATATACAATTACTCTGAAAATTATTTTGGCAAAGAATTATAACTTATATAATTTGTTGCATATTGATATTACCTACAATTTTGGAAATTACTTTAAAAATTTTAGAACAAGGGGCCTAATGCAAGTTTGCTTTAAGGCGATCGACACGTTTATGAATTGATGTTCGTCATCTTGATTGGCCGGCTCCATTTTAACTCTATTTTAAAAGATGGCTTTGTGGCTTAACGCAGTGCCGTTTTAAAAAAACTCGAAAAATTATAAAATGTAAAATTATCACACAATATTGGATTATCCATGGCCAAAGAACTTTGGCCATGTGTTATGGTCATACATATGTTATACATATACATATCTTCGAATATTCACAGATTTAGGTAGTAGAACAACATTGATATATGTATTTTACAACACAGTAAAAAACATAATGCTTGAAACTGCCAACCAATAACATAAAGATTGGTTTATACTAGAACTATACAGTTTTGAAGCATACATTTTATAAGCTATTCGGTAATGATAGGCGCTAGATAAGAATCATTATTCACATTTCTTCAGTACTAGACAAAGTACTGAAGGAATGTGAATGTAAATGTAAAATCAAGCTTAACTACTGATATTAGCTTTAGCTTGATTTATATACTCCCATAATTTGATTTCGTAGCGTATTGAAATGTAAAGATGATTGCAGAAGTTTGCGCCAGCTGTTCGGCCGGCGCGGAAACAGAACCTCGGTCTGTGAGCTCGGGGTCTGCGTCCTGGTGCGAAGGTGACGCCGCCGAGGAGCGTGGCTACGGGTCCGGAGACTCTCTAGCAGAAGACGCCGCACTGCTCGGCGACGCAGCACAAGCTTCACAACCCCGCATGATGCGCAACCAACGCCGGGACGTAGCTGTCGACCTTCACCTCTTACGGCCAGATGTCTGAGACTTACTATTCAATATTTCATCTTGGCGAAAAAGGCTTTCCATTAATTATCTACCTACCACCATTATAATTGTAAATAAATAACGTCGCACAATATTGACTTGACACTACGCTGTCCATTCACATAATTTCTTTATTGATAGGTGCTTGTAATGAGAAAATGAGCAATGATAGTTTAGGTAAACGAGTAGATAGTTTATAAGGCGTCTTGTGCAACTCCAATGAATAAAGTATACAACGAGTTGATGTTGTGATAATCACTTCCACTCGATTATGTATAAAGACCAATGGACTCTCGAGCCGAGTACGTAGGTACCTAATGTTTATTATTACGCTTACATTGTTTAATTAAATACCTATTGCTTTAAAAGATATAAAAATTACGATGGTATAAATAGAAAATCTTTACTTTATAAAAATGTACCATAATTGTTAAGTTGTACATATTTTTGTAATAAGTTGTTTAATAATTATTAAACTTAGATCAATAATGTATAGTTATTTAGGAAATGTTACTCGCGAATGAAAACCAGATACCTAAAGCATCGATCTTGATAGCTAGGCTAGATATTGTATTATGCCTAAAACTAACATTTATACATACTACTAGACATTTTTTAAATGTAAACATCCAGGATTAGGTGTGACGTTTGCAAATAATCTAGGAAATATGAATTATTATAATATTTCTACAAATAAATAAGTAGGTAATTTTAAATAATAACATAATTGACAAAGAAACTGTGATAGATATTCAGTTTTGCCATCACGCCTAACAAAACAGACTATACATAGATGATAGAAGCCACCTCAGAGCAGATTTCAGCAAGTACTATTGTAAAAGTAGTCCGATCTGTAGGTCGACGCCGTGCGTGCTATCGTATCTGTTTTTAATTTATTGGTAAAGTCCTACTCTTGAACCAATTTTGAAATTTTGGAACATGTTTCTTAATAAAAGCAGGGTAAACTATTGCCTGAAAATCAAATGAATAAATAATAAGATTATAAATATATGTATTTATGTATGTTTAAAACATCCATATTTAGAACGATGTTTCAGTCGGTCAGACTTAAATTGTCATGGCTGATGCTGTTCACAATATTGAATGATTACAGAAAATGTTGTAAGAATGAAAAATGTTTTTAGCCTATGTTGTAGATATATTCGGAAAAAGCTTTCAACGTCATCAGATGTGGCTTTATCAGTATTTTAATAATAACATCCATAATGATTCATTGAGTAATGAATAATCGTATCCAGAAGCACATTAATTTGTAGGCGAGAAAATTCATCAGTCAGTAAAATAATAAATACAATGGGACCTACTAATTGCCTAACTGTTTAGATCTATGAATTGTGATATGTTTATGAATTACTTACATACCTAAGTCAATTTACACTATATATAAATCGAAATAATACCAAATTACTACAGGCAATCAACTGTTTAAAAAGATATGAATATTACTGTGAGCGTTCTAACGATGAAATGTTTTGGATCATGTTTAAAGTAATAACATTATTATGAATTCAATTAAAAAAGGCATTTATTTATTTTATGTTATTGTTTAAAAGTACGCCTAGGTACTCTGTTTAATTAATGTCTTCTCCAAAAATTTAGTAACGGATACACGTGTAGAGAGAAGATAACGTTTTTACAATTTTTGCCATTTTTTAAACTCAAAATAATATGATTATACCTATTAAATAATTTAATTGGTACAACACGTATCATCAGATTGTGAATTACAGGATCTTCTACACAATATATTTATAACTAACTACACTTAATCATATTTTAGTAAATGAAAACGAATACAAACCTAATTTAGAATGTTCACAGTAATATAAATAAGTACAACAAGAATAATTGTTGCCGGGATATGGCCTAACAAATCTTAAAATGCCGAACATATCTAGACCTTAAGCACGTACCTACTAACCCTTCGCTTGTCAAATACAATGATCGAAACCAATTAATTCGTTTTAATAAATAAATCGACACAAGTAGTAACGAGGCAGCACAAATAAATTCATCACAGACACTTGAGTTTTGTCTACATTACTAAAATCCCAAATAGACTAGTTTTCCAACAGTGATATTAAACTACATTATGTATAGGTAACTACCTACCTAAGTCTTTAAATGTACCTGCAACAAAACCGATTTAAAATAAATCTAATCAATCATGTTTTTTTATGTTGGCAAACGAGCAGAGAGTTTACCTGCAGCACCGTCCATGGACATCCGCAACAACGGAGGAGTTATGAGTGCGTTGTCGACATCAAGAATCACGAAATGTCGCATAATTCACATATTTTTATCGTTCCCATAATTTGTGTTGTTTTTAACTTCTGTTGGAACGCTAGCCTACTCCCTAATACATAAGTCCAACCAAAGAGTATAGTGGTTATATAGTCATTGAGTAAAACTATAGTTTGATACTATAGTTACAAGTACCTATACCATCTATCTACCAAGTAAATTGAATTTATTTACCTATGTAAAAAACCTTCGACCAGGACATACTTTTATAATCTACAACATAAGCTTCACAAACTACTGTAGACATAAGACACATCATTACCTCGGAATTCGAGCTGTCGATGTGTAAGTAATCAATGATGATTTATAATATCGCGCTGGTGTTTCTGTTGTCATTAGCGATTACATCGAAACCACTGGCTTCAATAAATTAATGTCACCGAAATACGAAGGGTAAGTAATAGGTCAAAAATAATAGTAGGTAAGTACCTACCTACCTAAGTAATTTACTAAACTCCTTGGCCATTTCATTCCTAAAAAATACTTTACTTGGGAACTAATAATCCCTATATCATATTTGGGGACTTGTGAAGCTATCATTAATGTAGAAAAGGTATTAACATATCTACCTACTAATGTAGGTAAGTATTATAAAATGTAACAGATCCCGTCTGTTGGGCTGACGGCCTATCAACACTGTATACTTAAATCGATTGAAAAAATTATTGTCGAAGACGATGATCCCTATTATTAGTCTATATGCATATAATCGTTTTTCCTATACATTTATGTCACTACACATATCAAGACCCTCTCATTATCGATCCAAACGATAAACATAAAAAATGAGTTATGGTATGTTTATGCGAGGCTATGGAGTGGACATGCTAAGTCACCATTGTGCCCATTTCCCCAAACACGAATAAAAATATGTAGGGCAAGTGGATAGGCATATCTGCTAACTAGGTGGGTGGCTATTTAGTATAATGTTATCGTCTGGAAGCTACAAAATAAAACGGCTTATGTTTAACTTAGCACCAGATATAATAGTAACAAATAGGAGACAAAAATAATAGCACCTACCTATAATGATCACCAAAATGAAACTCGCATTTTAGTGTTAAATTATAACCAAATTTTTAACACTTTGCTATCTTATATAAGTAAAATGACTCCAAGTAAATCATGAGTAACCCAAAAATAGTAAATGATCACCAAAATTAAACCAACATTTTAAAGTAAAATTTTAACCAAAGTTTTTAAATTCTGCTATGCTATTTAAACAAAATGAGTCCAAATAAATCATTGCTATCCCAAAAGTAGTGAATGACGACCAATGAGCATGCAAGCAAGCATACATCATGCAAGCACGCATGAAGCATGCAAGAAAGCATGCAACATGCAAGCAAGCATGCAACATGCAAGCAAGCAGCATGCAGCAGGCAGGGTTTTGGTGACGGCTCCGGCGCTGCGGCCCTCTGGCGGCCCCACGCGCCTACGCGATTTTAAATAACACTCTAGGGGTAGAACAAACAAGACGTGAAGTCGGTTTTGCAGCAATTCGGTTCTGCAACTAACTTTTGTTGCACAGCATATTAATTTTTTAACAAATGCAGGACGTTTGTCATTGCGACCGAGACGGAATCCACCGAGCCGTAGGTTTTAAGTTATTATTTACATTCGACAATTAGAACTTGAGCCTGATAACTCGATTCAAACTCTTGTAAGTTAGGTATCTACTTACCTCCGAGGTGCACCTAAGCTTTATAGGTAGGTACGTATAAGTTCCTGCCCATTATGATTTTATTTACTTTTACAGGTTATCTAACTACCTAGCCCAAACTCAATTCATAATATTTGAGTAATATTATTCTAAAAACGATGAATGAATGTAACGGAAACTAAATATAGTTAGGCTAGCTATTCTAGGTATATATGTTACAGAGCTTATATAATTTAGAACCAGTAACTCCAATCGCAGCTCATAGCCTATGCCGTTACTTTCACAGAGATATGTTTTCAGGCTTCTCTACCCAAAAGGTAACAACGGGTACCTAAGGTATTAGGACGGATACTAAGAATCACCACATTAAAACTATGACATTCACAGTCCATCCATCCATATCTGTCTGTGATGAAACATGGTATCCAGACATAGGTAATTGAAGTTTGGACTGGTGACGTATTTCAGTTCCCTCTCTAACAACAAATACAGAAAACAAAATAAAAAATGGTAACAACAAACGTGTAACATGTAGATACAGAATCCATCGTACATTCTCATCGTTTATTTTCTTAGTAGGTACCTAAATAAAGATTTTTAACTAATTAAAAAAGAAACCTTATTTATCTGTCATAACCAATATCCAATTACCTAATCTTTATGTAGGTAATCTATACTTATAATAAATCTGTAGACAGGTAAATTCTCTACATTAAATATATTTTCAAAATAACTACCAGGGGATGATAAGTGATTGATACTGATGCCAAAAATGCAATCAGTAAAATGTTTGTCTGTCTGTCTGTATGTTCCTTACAACAAAACTTGGTACAATTACTTGGTACATCGCGCTACAAATAATAGGAGCAGAGCAGTGAAGGAAAATGTTGGGAAAACGGGAGAAATTACTCCCTTTTTAAGTTTCCGTCGCGTGTGTAGCCTTAATGGTTACCTAAAGTTACTTACATATAAATTATGTATGACGGAAATGTTGTACATAAAATTATCTAAAAAAAAATTGATCTACGGCATATATCTATCTTTTATGCTTAACTCACAATAGCACGTGTAACTCCTGATAGCTTAACAATTCGGATAATAAGCCATCGCACCGTCGCATGTGAACACTGAATCATGCTATAAGGATTATTTTTGTGTAATGGTTGCCGTTGTCGACGCGACGCGGTATAAAATATAATATAATAGGTTTTGTGAAATATTTGTAATAGGTACTTATTGGTTAGATCCGTACTATTAGGAGACTTGGCGGATAGCAGATAGCGGAGACTTAGTAAGTAATAGGGTATTTGCCCATTGGAGATTTACCCAAAAAAATGAGACGATTTTATGTATTGCTACTTCGATTCTATTGCTATAGGCTGCTATTTACCAACACAGCACGCGGATGAAGCCGCTGGCGAAAGCTAGTATGTAATATACTAGCTATCGCCCGCGGCTCCGCCCGCGGCTCCGCCCGCGTGTATGTCGATTTAACACTTTCTCAAGGTTTTTTCTTTAATTTTCTCTACGTACAAACCTTTTCTGGTCTTATACGAATAATTCAAAACCAAAGTTTTTATATTATTTAATATTATTAATGAGAACCATTGATAAATAATGGATTGAAATTAACCGCCAGAAGTATTGTGTCAACCTATGAGAAGTGAAAACGTCATAATCATCAACAACAAAGTCCTGTAGTATTAAAGCGGTACGCTATAAACTAAAAACAGGTATTTTCAAAGATGTCAAACAAGTAAAACTATACGTCATTAGCCTTTTCTAACTACCTAATATAGTTAGGTATGTGATAGTTGCGACAAGTATCATCATCATCATCATCAACCGGAAGACGACCACTGCTGGACAAAGGCCTCCCCCGACCCCGACCGCGACAAGTATTAATGTATTATATTTTTTTTTATAAAAAATGAGGGATAGCTAAGCTTCGGCACGAACGGTCAGCTCGACCGGAGTGATAATGCTTCACAGAAACCAGCTTGAAATAACCACCATAACAACAGCGTTATGTCTCTAATAGACACAACACTGCGAGTCAGCGCGTGATTGTGACTGTGAGTACTGATTTTACAGGAGGCCCAATACCTCGATTTTTTTTGTAGTTTAAGTTTCGGAAGTAGGGTTGCGGTAGGCTGAAATCCTTAGACCATAGAAAGATTTTTTATAAATAAAAAATCATTATATTATATTTTAAAATATTAATATTAAAAGCAAAATTATAGATTTAATTCCTCCATGGTGAAAGATCATAAACTGAGTAGATAAGTGAAATGAAATATGGATGCTTCCGGCAACAAATGTCGTAAACGCCATTTTGGCGAAAATGAGTTAAGAATGCAGCCATACTTAATTTTTGGCGCTGCGTCGAACTAAAAATGTGAAAAAAATATTCGCCTAAAAAACATACTTTTACACCCAAAATTTGTACTAGTATAATCAAGAATTTTTTGAAAAGAGGGTATGTATAACTCATATTGCTTAGAACCGAATAACCGTGCAGGTCGTATAATACAACGTAAGTACAAACAGCTGTCGGTCGTACAAACATGAATACACATAATTAATTGTAATTAGGTACACCCCACAATCATTTTTAAAACGTAAGCTCTGCTGAGAAACAATTGTCGTAATGTCACTCGGTCTTGGAGAATTTGTTTGAAAAATGAATGATGTAGGTCGTTTTTTTTTATGTAATAGGTCAGCAAACGAGCAGACGGATTAGGTACCTGATGGTAAGCAATCAGCGGCCGCCCATGGACACTCGCAACGGAGGAGTTACGAGTGCGTTGCCGACCTTTTAGGGATTTGGGATTTGGAGATTTAGGGATTGAGGAGGGATTGGGGAAGGGGAAGTATTGAGCCTCCGGTAACCTCACTCACACGGCAAAACACAACGCAGTGGTTATTTCACGCCGGTTTTCTGTGAGGCCGTGGTATCACTCCGGTCGTGCCGAAGCATGGCTCTCCCACACTTAAACGTACAACGTAACTACTCCTAATTTTTTTAATAGGGTCAGTCTCATATTGTCATTGATACTCTTCCTGAGACTGACGAGGAAGATGAAATTTCTGATTAATTATCTTCTATCAGAAAATCAGGTCTTCAAATTTCTGATTAATAATCTTCTGTCATTGGATAGAAGATTATTAACCAGAAATTTTAAGACCTGATTTTCTATAACTCGTCGTCGCATTATGTTTTGCATCTACTTTTTTAATATCTTGTCGATAACACTTTTCCATTTTCACCAACGACACTAAAAGTTAGGTTTAGACCATAGTACAGAAGCTTTCCGAACAAACAAGATCTAGAAAGATGAACAACCTAAATTTTTAAGGGCGTTGTTAAAAATGGACATTGCTTGGTAGAATATTTACTTATATTTTTTTGTAATTCATTATCAATACGTTTAAAAAAAATGTCGTGATTATAAAATCTTCTTGAAATCCATGAAACATAATGATTACTTAACATTTTGAATTATGTCTGGCTGGTTAGGTACGTCGTTGGAGGTAGAACACTATAGGCATCTTGTAACAAACGCTTGATTAAATTATATACGGGAAGATGCCTATAATATACTTACTTAAGTGTATTTTTATACCTTTAGGACCTGCCAGTCGAAAGGACTACCGCTTGGACTTTCGCTTCAGATATTTCCATGTTTGTTACATACCACCGCATCAGATCGTGGTGTTTACACTCATTTTTATTTCAGTATATGGTTTTTAAAACCAAACCCAGAACTATTGTATTTAAAAACTGGTGCATAATTCTAACTTCGGTTAGACAAATCGTTCTCCATTGATTTGTTAGTGGTCGTAAATACCAACTTCTTGAATTTTCTGGGGTGTATGTCCAAGCTAACTTTTAAAATAAGGCTTTGACATAAATAGCAATAATATATTATGAAACACCATCGTATTTTACGTATTTCTTGTATAGAACACAATTTTACAACTTTTATAGTTAAAAAGATATAAGCCAAAAACGAAATTATTTTTTGTTTTTCGTTGATTACCAAAAGTGCTATTTTGGTGTTTACGACCTTTGTTGTCGGAAGCATCGAATTTTATTGATCAGAACTAAACGTAGTGGTTACATACTCTTTGATCAGAACTGTCAGGTGTCATTGTCAAGAGATTCATGTGTCAGTTTTGTATTCTCTAATTTGTCTACTTGGTTTTCAGTGTTGGTTGTTTGGCGCGTTGCATTTCAAGATTTTTGTATAAATTCATCTATTTCTATAATATTCCATATTCTAACAGCGTATAAGAGTGTCGTAAGTTAACAGTTAACAATGCCAAGTCAATATGAAGAGGAGCGTACTTGGGAAGCACCAAATCATAATCAATATGAAGTATATTGACCATATTTAAATTTGTTTGTTTTTATAGTTAAACAATGCTTTCTTATTTTACATGTTCCTAGATAGCTAAATTCTTGGCATATCAATTATTAGCATCTTTAAACGCAAACAGGACTAAATAATTTATCGTTTTTTGAATAAAAACCTAAATATGCTATACTATACTTTAATTACCCAGTTAGTAATGTACATTTCTTAACATTCCTGGTTATTTCTTAGGAAGAAGGCAATGAAGATGTCATTGAGAATCCAGAAGAGGTTTTACATGAATGTCTTGAAAAGTTCAAGACTCCAGATTACATCATGGAACCTGGAATATTTGGGCAACTGAAACGGTACTTTCAAGCTGGAGGAAATCCAGAACAAGTTATCGAACAGCTATCAATAAACTACAATGCAGTTGCACAAATGGCTAATTTACTTGCTGAATGGCTAATACTTGGAGGTTAGTGTAAAGCTTATTGTATACACTTATGAATAATTTGAAAATTCTTTGTAACACCAAAGACTAAGTGTTCTACCAATAATTAGTGATTTTTTTATTATTTTGGAAAATACAGAACTTGAAACTGAACAGAAAATAAATTCTTTTCAGGAGTCAAAGTGACAGAGGTACAAGCAATGGTTGAAAATCATTTGAAAGATATGATTTTAAAAACATTTGATCCGAAGAAAGCTGACACTATATTCACTGAAGAGGGAGAAGTGAGTTAGAACTAAGCAAAATCATGTTAAATTTTTAATTTATTTGTACTTACATATTAAATAATATAAATGGTGTTTAGACTCCAGGTTGGTTGACAGAAATGATTGAGCATCCAACATGGCGGTCACTGATTTACCGATTGGCTGAAGAATATCCAGATTGTCTCATGCTTAACTTTACCATCAAGGTAAGTTCTAAAGTCAAAGTTAATTATTGTGAACATAGATAATAAGTACATAAGAAGTGATGAAGCATACATAATAGAAAGTGCTCTATGTTTTGCCTATTGGCATGCAATTTAGTAATGAATGTCCAGAGATGCAAAACAAAACTTGTCCTTTCCATTTTTGTTAACATTGTCTTATGACCATTTATAACAAACAACTTTATTTCATTTCAAAACAATGTTATATAATGTTTGTTCAAATAAAGTTGTTTGTTATAAATGGACATACGGTACATAAATATAATTTTATAGAATTGGATTTTTCTTAAAACTTGAAAGCCCAAATATAATAAAATAATATTGTTACATATTTTCAGTTAATATCAGATGCTGGATTTCAAGGAGAAATTACAAGCATTTCTACAGCTGCTCAACAAATTGAAGTATTTTCTAGAGTACTGAAATCAGCAATAGTTGGTTTTTTGCAAAGTTCTGATGATTGGCAAAATAGTGTTAATGAATGTGCAGTATGTATAAAATTTTCAAGGGTTCTGGGTAAAAAAATAAAAATACACCAATCATTTTCTTTATTCATAATGAATCATCTATCACTCTTTGATTTTGTTATTTGTCATTACTTATATTTCAAAAATAAATATGCTATTATTTACAACTTGATCATTTTAGAAAATGGTATGCCACGGAGCTCACACATATGTATACAGTCAAGTTATTGTGCATATACTTTCACAAGAGCCTAGAGGAGGTGCCATTATGAAAAGATTAGGCCAAGAAATAACACGTTGTGCTCAACAAAGGTGACAATTTCATATTTTTTACATGTTTACACATACATTTAATAAAAGGACTTGAAAATAAGGTTAATCCTGACATTATTCTTATTATATTTAAACTTTCATAGAATTGTGATGCTCATATATTTATTGTTTTTTTCATTGCAGTGGACATGATGTGACTCCAATTACATTAGCATTGACATCTGGGGAATCATGGCGCAATGCTCGAACGGCGCTTGCGGCCATGTTATCTCGCGGAGCGTTGAACCCTGCAGATATTTCAGTTTTATTCAGAGCTTACACACAGTCTGAACCACCACCAGTACATTTGCTAAGAATCCCTCAATTTTTGGGTATGACCATATATTTTTAAAAGATAGAGTCCTATACATAAAGATTGTTTTATTGCAACTAATTATTTTACAGAAACAAATGAAGTATACATATATTATTATTATTATACCTTATCACATTTCTTTGACAGAACTGTTGGTTGACTCATTATTCAAATCTGGGAGTAAGCTAAACCCAGAACACAAATCAAAGTATATGTATTTATTGGCTTATGCTGCAAGTGTATGCGAAGGTCTGACACCTGGCAGGCCTGTAAAGGATGAATTAAAGGCTACAGTGCAAGCTATAGAAAAAGTGCATGCTGTATGTAGCAGCTCTGCAAGCTCTAGTGAATTGATTGCTGAATTACCTACATTGTACCATTGTATAAGGTAGGTGCTGCTATTTAAGTATATGCCCACAAAAAGCAGTCTAAATTCACGTTTTCTTTACTATTGTTTGTAATTATTTCAGATTTCCAGTTGTTGGAATGGGTGTTTTAGTTTGGGTAGAATGTGTTGTTACTGAGCCCTCATACTTCAAACTGTGCACAGAACATTGTCCTGTACATTTGGCTTTACTAGACGAAGTTGCGTCTTGCCATCAGTTGCTGCACCACAGACTCTTACGATTGCTTGTACAACTCTTTGAATCTCCACAAGATGAATTGGAAATCTTAGTACAGGTAACAAACAATACACAATTCTGGTCTAAATATTCAATCATCAAGATTTAACAAAATAGTTGTTTGATTTTAGTTGGAACTAAGAAAAATGTTATTGGATAGAATGGTAAACCTACTAAGCAGAGGATGCGTCGTGCCAGTGCTACGTTACATAAAACAATGTTGGCAACGTGGTGATACTGATATTTCCCTGATTAGATACTTTATTACGGAGGTAAATTGGACATCAAATTTGTATGTCTATCTTTTTCATCATAATATATCTATGTAACCAAGTGTTCTGTGACAGGTTCTTGATGCAATTGCACCTCCTTACACGCCAGAATTTGTGCAGTTAGTGCTGCCAATGGTGGAAAATGAAGAAATTACTGGCACAATGAGAGCTGAAGGGGAAAATGATCCTGTTTCTGAATTCATAGGTTATTATTTTATTCTTATAATTATTCATATGTGTTGGTTAGTTGAAATACTAATATCTTTCCTTTTTTTCAGTTCACTGCAAGGCACACTATGTTGTAGTGTAAACAAAAATAAATAAAATATCATGAGTATTAATTAAATAAGTTTAATTATATTTAAATATAAAATGATCTATTATAGTAATAAAGGCCCAATTTATCAACAACCTCTTGCTGCTTTTCTTTCATAATACCTTTTGAGAGCTTCTTCAAAAACTGGTCCAACAGTTCTCTTTTTCCAAATATCAATTTTCTCTTTTGGTATTGGTGTCACTTCTTTAGTTTCAGTACTTTCATTTTTAATTTGTTTAGGGCTACTGGTCTTTTCTTTTACATTTATCTCGTCAGATTTTTCTGGTTTAATTTTCAAAGGCTCTTTTTTGTCACCATCTTCATCACTTGACTCATCTATTGAAAAATCTGAATCTGCATCAATATTTTCCGACTTTTGTTTCTTTGCCAATTTTAAATCATCTAGATTAACACGATTAATCTCTTCATCAGAGTCCTCAATTTCGCCATCAGACAATCGTGTCCTGTCTGATGATTTTCGCTTTCTGTAATTTCTTTTCTTTTGTAAATCAGGATTTGTAGTCGTTTTTGTAGATGCATCATCATCATTTTTACTTTCTTCTGTAACATCAGACTTTGTTGCCTCTACATTTTCTACTTCAGTTTTATCTTTTCCTAACTTCTGTTCATATAGATGACGGTAAAAACCACCTAAAAATTTAAATATATTAATATTTTAACATATAGTTATTAATTATGACGAAAAAAAATTGTTCTAGGAAAAAGATATACATTTATAACATTACAGAACCATAAATATATTAGTAACCGTAACCGCATCCTAAAAAAGTTTTGACTATCAGATACGGGGGAAGCCTAATTATTGAGATACGTTGTTTGTATTTTACTTTTGAAATTCCTTAAAATTTTAACATCTGTAAACTAAATTACCCGAAACTAACGGTAAATCCGAAATAATTAAATATCTGTAACCATATTCAGTATAATAATAATTCCTATATCTAATATGTATCTGAAATTTAATATCCATAACATCCCTACTAGAAATCTTATAAGTGACCCTGTTTTAAGACAGAAACTGACTGACTGTGTTAAGAGAAAAGAACCTTTACTGAGTAAGTAAGTTTTTTAGTCATATCTAAAGAATAACCTAAATCTCTTTGTTTCATAACATCTCCAATATTCTCCAAATACTCTTCTCGTTTCTCTTTCTCTTCTTCTAATCTCATTTCTTCCAACTTCTTTTTGTATGCAGAGGTCACAAATACTTCCTTATCCTTAAATTCATCACCCTCCTTTTCCCTTTCCTTTTGAACCTGGAAAATTGACAACAATATTTTTATAGATGTTACTAAAAAACTGTCAAACAATTTTTGTAGCTCAGCATTTCAACAGCTTGTAATTTAAAATCTTAAAATGTTATTAACATCATAAACAAATGACTAACTTGTCTCTCAATACGTCTCTCATTTTCAATTTTTCGCTTATTAGCAGCCTTCATCAAATTTTCTATGTATTGGGGTTTCTTCTCTTCTTTAGTTTTGACTTTCTCCTTATCCTTTTTGCTAACCATTTCTTCATATATTTCATCATACTGGTAAACTGTTGGATCTTCAGTTAAAGCTTTTTCTTGAGTCAATTTTGCCTAAAAAGTTAAAGATAAATAATAATTCTAATCTTCACACTTAAATATTCCATACCTATACTAACATTATAGAGGTAAAATTTGTAAGTTAGTATTTAAGTATGTAGTCTTTCGTCGGATTCCAAAATTCACACTGATATATAAGGACAATGTTCGTGAGTGCTAGAGGCTCTAAAACATTACGCTATGATCAAAGGGAGTCAAGTAGTGGGTAAAACCACATGAGGATAGCTAGCTATTTATTTTAATAAAATTATAACTTGCTAGCCGTAGGTAACAGTTTACTTGGCTTGAATCAGAGGATACTATATAAGTGTTTCATATCTTAAACAGGGGTATTTTTTTTTAAGTTAATACTTATTATCTTTAAAATACAATATACTAGAAACAATATGGACCCGATAGGGCACAGCATAAAGGAGCAGTTAGAAAAGTTTGTAGTACATATAATCTTACTACTTACCTAGTCTAGTTTTAAATCTAAGTGCTTATCACTAAAACTGAAGTATAATAACATTTTATATTCTAATCCTTGTATGTGAGTGCGGGCGCCGCTACATTTTGACTTACCTTCCTATTTATAAGATCGCTAGGTCGAGGTAAAGATAATTTTTTCTTAGATTCGTCGTCTGAGTCGGAATCGTTTCCAAAAACATTTCTGGAGGCCTGGAATGTGGGCTTTGGTTTACTTTTGTCAGCCAATATGAGGCCATATCTAAAAAACACGCATAAGTTATTAAATTTTTATTTTTTATTACGATATTGATTTCATGCATGATACAAACTTTTTGTTCGACATATCAGATAATTTTTTATTTAACAAAATTAAATAATGTTATACGAGTCGAATGCAGGTAAACACAAGACACAAGCCCAGTTTACACAATATTATACTCTATGCACAAATCTCAGTATATATTGTATAGTCTATGGCACAAATTACCATTGACATAGGAAATATAAGGACTTGAAATACCTACGAAAAAAAGGTGCATACCTACAATCCGAAATTTCGCATAAGATGGCTGCCGTTGCTAGGGTTGTGCCGACTAAGTATTTAACGAGTATCGATACAATTTGAGTATAAGTTCTACGTAGGTATAATTTTAGGGATTAGCCAGCTGATTAACGGTATTTTTTTATAGGAAATCATCTAATGTCATCTCCGACCCTTTTCCTGATAGACAGTTACTGACTAAAATCAACTCCTGTTCCTACTTTGCCGTCGGCCTAGCTAGAGCCCGGAACCCGGGGTTGCCTTGGTCTCTTGATTGGCTAATGATTTTCTCAAGTCAAATTTGTATTCACATAATTCTACGTAAAGCGTCTTTTAAAAAAATAGGACTGTGTTTATGAACAGCGTTTAATGGAATGGTGGAATAGAAAAAGATAGTGTTTGTTAAATGTTTATCTTTATATTTATGTGCAAAACCTGTAGGAATTTGTGAAATGCTCGCGCACAATTTCGGCGCGTCTGATTAAGCGATGATATCTTCGAAACTACGTTAGCACAAAATAGATAAGTAGTGAAGTCAATCTTATTGTATGTATCTCACTTTTTATTATTACGCTTGGTGGTCGCACTGGGATCGCCGCCAACGCCGCTCTGTCAATTGCGCCCGGATAATTATAAAACATGATAATTTGAACTTTTACTTATGTAACTAAAACCAATACCAAAATACTGACGTCTTACTTTAGCCTTACACAAAACTGAGGAAACATCCATTATTAAAATAGATTATTTAGGATAATATAAAATATGTTAAATTTTAAATGGGAGATTATATCGATACTTTTGTGGAATTGTACGTAACTATGCCATATTGACATATTATTGTAAACAACAATTTTTTACTAAAACTGTCTCACAGACAGAAATAAAAGTATGTAAATATATATACTTTGGCAATAGATTCAAGTATCCGTATTATTTTTTCTATCTATGTGGATTATTTTAAGTAATATTCGATGAAAACTGTTTACTAACCTATACAAAGACAATTGAGGTTGATTTTCGTTCGTACAACACACAGGCATATTGTTTTTTGTTTCACTATATATATTTGAAGTTTAAAAAAATGGTTCTTTGTAATTTACTGGAAAACGGCAATAATTTAAAACATAAACAACCGTTTGACAGCACAACTACCATGAAGCTCAGGTACTCTGAGCGCTTAAGATGGCGGACATGGCACTTACCTACAACCATTGCTAATGTCAAAATGATTTGTTGCCATATTAAGCAACAACTTAAATATTGTTGTTCCTTTCTTCTAATACAGTTACCGCCTTAGAAAGAGTGAGAAAAAACGATATTTCATAGTTTGTTCCATATTTCCCTCATTAAAACACTTCCTCTGACTGTCCCTCTCGCCCCACACAGTGCGCAATAATGTTCTGCCGCTGCGGCCCCGGCCCGCAGATGTGACAGGTGGTTTTAAATCAGAAATGAGTGAGGAGTGTCGGAGAGAGTCATTTAACTATAAAAACAAAAAAAAAGCCATCTATTATCATTCTCGTTTTCCTTGCCGGATCACCGCCGTGGGATCTGGAAGCGAAGGTGCTCGCGCGCGTCTACAGTTTGCGCGCCAAATTAGTGCGTGGCGAAATTAAGCTCCGGCGAGATCTCATATAGCAGCGATAAGACCCCTCTTTGAGGAGTGGCTTGAGAGACGCCACGGCGTCCTCACCTTCCTCCTGACGCAGGTCCTTACCGGGTACGGCAGCTTCGGTAGGTTCCTGTTTCGGATCCAGCGGGAGAAAACGCCCGAGTGTCGTCATTGCGAGGAACACCTAGAGGAGGAGCATACGGTGGCGGTATGCCCTGCCTGGGCTGAGCACCGCCGTGTTCTCAGGGAAGTGATCGGCGGCGGCGACCTCTCGCGCCCGGCCTTAGTCGAGGCCATGGTGCGGAGTGAGAGGAACTGGGACGCCGTCTCCTCCTTTTGTGAAGCAGCCATGCTCGCAAAGAGAGAGGCTACCCGCGTGAGCGAGCAATCCTCCTCCTCACGCCCCAGCCGCCGCGACTGGCGACACTACGGGCGTCGGGGATCAAGGGACGATCTCCGGCCACCGTAAGCGCGGGTCTGCGGTCGGCGAGTAAGGGCAGCTCGCCGCCCGATCAGAACCAGCCCCGAGCGTACGGCGTGTAGCGTTCCACGCGCGCCTCAAAAAGCCAATAGACCACCACAGATGGGGCCCTAAGGGCTGATGTTCAGCCGGGGTTGCGGGGTAAGCTCAATGAGGCACCGCGACCTCGGCCCAGAGCAGGAGAAGGAACAGGGGGGTTTTTAGTCAGTAAGAGTCTGACACTCCCTCTCGCCCAGCCCTGGGCGGGAGAAGTCATTTAATGATTTTCTCCTCACAAAAACAAATCATTCTCGTTTGCTGTCCTATACGACACACTTAAAAAAACGGTATTTGTGTTTTATTACTTGTCGTATTATTTAAATCCAGGCTATTGTTTTTTTTTTTAAATAAACACATCTAAGATCTATTATAGTATTTTTTAATTATCCTTCGCCCATCCCTGAGCCGGATAAAAAAAAATATAAACACTATACTCCATTGACTTGATTGATTGAAATATATGGACTTGAAATACCTACGAAAAAAAGGTGCCTACCTACAATCCAAAATGTCGCATAAGATGGCTGCCGTTGCTAGGGTTGTGCCGACTAAGTATTTAACCAGTATCGATACAATTTGAGTAAAAGTTCTACGTAGGTATAGTTTTAGGGATTAGCCAGCTGATTAACGGTATTTTTTTATGGGAAATCATCTAATGTCATCTCCGGCCTTTTTCGGGACAGACCGTTACTGACTAAAATCAACTCCTGTTCCTACTTTGCCGTCGGCCTAGCTAGAGCCCGGAACCCGGGGTTAACTTGGTCTCTTGATTGGCTAATGATTTTCTCAAGTCAAATTTGTATTCATATAATTCTACGTAAAGCGTCTTTTAAAAAAAATAGGACTGTGTTTATGAACAGCGTTTAATGGAATGGTGAAATAGAAATAGATAGTGTTTGTTAAATGTATATCTTTATATATGTGGAAAACCTGCGGGTATTTGTGAAGTGCTCGCGCACAATTTCGGCGCGTCTGATTAAACGATGATATCTTCGAAACTACGTTAGCACAAAATAGATATGTAGTGAAGTCAATCTTATTGTATGTATCTCACTTTTTATTATTACGCTTGGTGGTCGCACTGGGATCGTCGCCAACCGAGCGAGCCCGTATAATTATAAAACATGATAATTTGAACTTCTACTTATGTAACTAAAACCAATACTAAAATACTGACGTCTTACTTTAGCGTTACACAAAACTGCGGAAACATCCATTGTTAAAATAGATTATTTAGTATATGTTGAATTTTAAATGTAAGATTATATCGATACTTTTGTGAAATGGTACGTAACTATGCCATATTGACATATTATTGTAAACAACAATTTTTTACTAAAACTGTCTCACAGACAGAAATAAAAGTAAATATATATACTTTGGCAATAGATTAAAGTATCCGTGACATTTTTTTCTATCTATGTAGATTAGATTTAATAAATATTAGAAGTAATATTTGATGAAAACTGTTTACTAACCTATACAAAGACAATTGAGGTTGATTTTCGTTCTTTTTTGCACCACACTGCACAATACAACACACAGGCATATTGTTTTTTTGTTTTACTATATATATTTGAAGTTTAAAAAAATGGTTCTTAGTAATTTACTGAAAAACCGCAATAATTTAAAACATAAACAACCGTTTGACAGGACAACTACCATGAAACTCAGGTACTCTGAGCGCTTAAGATGGCGGACATGGCACTTACCTACAACTTTGCTAATGTCAAAATGATTTGTTTCCATATTAAGCAACAACTTAAACATTGTTGTCCCTTTTGTCTAATACAATTATTGCCTTAGAAAGAGTGAGAAAAAATGATATTTCATAGTTTGTTTCATATTTCCCTCATATTTGTATAAGTATGTATACTTCTATAGTAACACGGCGCCTCTATATATTTTCTATCTCAATGCTATACTCGGAACTTTAATTCCATTCCAGATTTGACAATTTCAGTGTTGCAACGTTATGACACGTAATAAATAGTAACGTTGCGAAATTATTCGATGTGGAAATCGAATCGTTTATAAATTTACTCTCGTAAACTAAGTTTATCAGGAAATAAAATATTTCTGAATCGATAATTTAGTTTTGACAATTAATTAACGATCTGAGACTTTTCTTTTGTAATTGTGTGTAAAATTAATAAAAAATGCGATCATGAAGGAACATAACAAATAAAACAGAAATTTTATAAATTGTCGCCGTCATCGCTATCGCTACGCTGTTACTTTCCGTAACATTTATTATGAATTGTGTCTGTGATTTTTATTGTCAATTAACATATCTAGCTTACTTATTTTTTCCTCTTCTTTGACAACATGGGATACCCATTTAAACCATTCGGAAGCCGTAATTTTTTGAATTCCTTTTTGAAACTGATTCACTGATTGTTTATCGATTTTTGTGTTCATTACTACACGGTTATATGTGGTATCATTATTTCACAAAATGACAATAGGTCATGTCAAATCAAGAATCGAATTAAAATTCTGACTAAAGAGACGTATAAAGGAGAGCAGACCTTATACATGATCTATCAACCGAAAACTGACATTAATGTACTATCAATTAAATTTGAATTGAATGTATTGTTTAAATTGTTTTTACCACAGAGTACATTATTATAACTGGTGGTTTTACCAATATTAAATAAATATTTTAAATACAACATAAATACAAGCAGTAAAGAATTTTGATTAGTTTTTTCAACATTAATAGACACAGTGTATCACAGAACGTATAATAGGTAGCTAAAGTAAAACTGAAATCATAAAAATGGAAACTAAACGTTACAAGATAAAAAGTTCAAAATTTCCAGAAACTGCATACACATATTATATCAAACAATATTGTAGAAGAAAAGGCACATCTGAAACCAAGGTATTAACTTTTCATTTAACCCAAAACATAACCTAAGTTGGTCATTGATCAATTAAGTACTAAAACTGTACTACTTTTGAAATATATTTTTTCTGTTATTTATTTTCCATTCCAGTATCAAAATGTCTTAGTTGAAGCAACTAAGTCTTGGTTGTCTTTAACTGAATCTGAGAAACAGCAACTATATGCAGCGCATAAGGAAAAAGGACGCAAGTTGAGACTACACTTTTTTGATCAGTTGAAACATGCTGAACCATTCTTAAAAGTTAAAAACATGGCAAGGTAAAAAATTTTTTCAACTTATCATCAATTAATTTTAATTATTTATTGGATAGTAAGATTTTGTTTTTAATGAACAGTTTCTTGTACCTACTTAATTAAACTCAATATCCAGATTAGTATGCTTTTATAAAGTCATATGAGAGTTTGGCCTAACTAACAAAGTAACTGCTTCAAGTTTATCACTGCTTCTTAGATGATAAATTAACATTACATATTGTATAATAATATTTTACCATGATGACGTAAATATGAATTTATGTCAAAAAAATTACAGCCAAGTAAGCGAGGACTTGAATAACAGTAATTCAGCGATTCAGACGCCTCAAGAAGCAATCGAAGAAGACCGCTTACAAAAAGACACAAATGAGCCCGTTGCTATAGATAATAATGAACCAACCAGTATTGGTTGTAATGAAGAATTATTAATTGATAATAATAATGTTATGTAAGTACACTATTTAATAAACAACAACTTTGTCATCAAAACTATAGTAATTTTAATGCAAACAAAAATTTTGCATCTTATTTTTAAATTGATTGATAAGAAAATGCTTTGAACTGTGTTTCATTTTTAACATAAACATAATTTGATATTTTGTAGCCATAATTTACAAATGAATGAAGATCTTGAAGAACATGGTTCTAATCAATTAATCAGGGAATCACCAAATGTGGAAGAGGTACCCAGCATACCCCTGCTGGTAGAACCATCACCTCCTACAATAAAGTAAGTATATGGAACTTTAAAAAATCTTTATAATATTATTTACACTCAAGAAGTAAGAAAACATACAGAACCTGCTTCATGATTTAATTATATATATTAAACCTTAGTTGTCAAAGTTGTATAATATTATAAAGAATTAGGTTTTATTCTTGCTAACAAACTTAGTAGGTGCTTTTGTAAATGGATAATTTAGGATCAAATAAATATTTTGTTTCAGGACTAGTAAAGATTTATTCTTTATGCTCAATTCTGTGGATGGATCCAGCACCTTAAACTGGACAGAGCTAACACCATTACAAAAAAGCCAGTACAGAAGTGCTGTATGTTTATTGAAAAAAGATTACATCAACAAATATAAAGAATATTTATATAGTTTAGCTCCAAAAGATTTATTTGATTATTACCATAAAACATTGTTTTAGTAATAAAAAGCCACAGCTCACATTTCACCCAATATTATTCTGTCATAAAGAAACTCGATAATTATGATTTATACCATGTCTCTGCTGGTATGTATATGAGGCAATAAACTTGAGTTTTGGAAAAGTACCTACTCGTTTTTATAAGTATAAGTACTCTTGTATTAAGAAAAATCGATTAATTTTAAAATAATAAAATAAAACAATCTAAACTAAAAAAAAAACAGCCAAAAGCGCATCGGGCTACGCTCAGTGTAGGGTTCCGTAGCCGTAGTTTACGACAAGATGATAAAAGTTGTCTATACAATTCGACAAAAGTAAAGCGCATAACCGTCCCGACCCCTTAGACTCAATAAAAATTTTATACAGAAATTCAGCGGAAAGTAATAAAAGTACCTACAGCACCCATCTGAAAGTAGGTACCTATGTTAAGTTTACAGTGAAAATTTTGGATTGCGTAAACCGATACCGACGTCCTATACTTGGGTAATTTCCTGGGTCAAATATAAATTAATTTGACGTTTCAATACAATAAAATATTGAAAATAACTATATACAGGGACAGGGACAGGGACTATGTAAAAAGACACTTAACGAAGCCGTTAACTACGCAGTAGCTCTACGCTAAAATTATCACTGGGAAACGACTTTTATTTTTAGGTATAAAAAAAATATAATTTTATTGCGCGCAATGTAAAGCAAACGGGCTTCGTGTCATTGTGTGCGTAGGTTCACAGCTTAGCATTAAAACGCTGTGATAAGTACGTAGGTCGACGTTTTACTTTGCAACAACAAAACAATTTTGTAAAATAAAAATCCTACTGAGATGCACGATGTTTTTTGTGCGGGTCTGCATTTATTTATTACGTACATTACTGTTCGCAACTTCAAATGCGTAATTTATTTAGAAAAATCGAAAATTCAGGTAATGTTTGTTTGGAAAAAAGTTTTGTAATAACACTTAGTATTTGATTGCGTAAAAAAAAATAAAAATTAAAAAATGCATCTTTGACCTTCAATATCTTGAGAACCCGTGAAGTCCCAGCTATGGTGTTAAAGAAAAAAATGATCCAAGTAATGGGTAGAATACGTGGCTTTCGGCTTCGTTAAGTGTTATTTTACACCCTGTATACTTCAATCGATCAATACACTAAGTTTTTTTTTTTAGCTAATTATTCAGAAATAACTAAGCTATTTGACGCAAAAATATTATAACGTCGTAACTCAGTTTTCATACAAATTTCATAGAAAAGTATCGTTTTTGACATTTGGATCATCATCATCAGCCGGAAGACGTCCACTGCTGGACAAAGGCCTCCCCCTTGGCTCTACACGTCGAACGACAAGTTGCCACCTGCATCCATTGGCTCCCCGACTCTGACGATGTCGTCAGTCCACCTAACGGGAGGCCTGCCCACACTACGTTTTCCGGTCCTTGGTCGCTACTCTAGCAGGCCTGTTGGGCCCATCGACCGTCCGTCTTTCGAGCGACGTGGCCTGCCCATTGCCACTTTAGCCTGCAGATTTTACGAGCTATGTCGGTGACTTTGGTTCTTTGGCGAATTTCCATATTTCGGATTTTGTCCCGCAAAGAGACCCCGAGCATAGCCCGCTCCATCGCGCGCTGACTTTAGCAAGAAGGCCAGAAGTTAAGGACCTATACATTTGGATAAAAGTATTGAATTTGACTAATTGGAAACTACCGTATTGTGGAGAAATCAATCAAAAACTGATTCCGCTGTGCGAACGTTGTCCAGACGGAACTTTTTTTAATCCATAGACTTATAGAAGAAAAGAGATGTGCCCAAAAATCAGTGTGTATTTGTGTGTAATTGTTTATGTATGAATGAAATCAGTGCATGCAAATTCAAGTTTCCGCTACGCAAACGTTTGGCCATTATCTAGTTTTCATATAAAGCCTACCTACGTTGTTTTGATTTTGTTTAAAAAACAGATAGAAAAAGTCGTAGGGTTTAAAAGATAAAAATATAAACGTAAAATACACTTATTAGGTCTTAGTTCTTAAAGTATGCACTTTGGGGGTCTAAATTTTCACGATTATACAAACCTTGTGTCTGCAACATGTTGCCATGTATCAATGATGTTCCGTTAGTAATTAAAAATAGGACAATTTACCATGAATAGATCATTGTTTACAAAGCAGTCGAATATCACGACATTCTAAAGGAATTGCTTGGTAAAATGTGTGCCAATTGTTTAATCATTCACCAAACACCAGCTCTCGTAAACAGTGAAATTCCTGCTTTGCGAGCTTTGCAATCGTGTTTGCCTTAGGAAGAGTTGCTGACTGGAGCTGGGTCTCCATTTCACTCTTAAAATCTAGTAGTGTATCCAGTGCAAGTGGCTGGCAGGTGGTGGTGCAAAAGTGCTGGTGGTACATAAACACTTCCACGGTCTACAGGTGATAAGTACGATAATTTACGGCACTATTTGTACATTTATTTCGTTAATTTTAAATAATTTTAGTATTTGTAGATCTACGTAAACGTAATCATCATACACGTGCATTAAGACCGTGCTCGTGAAGAACTGAATATCATCATAACTTGTTAAATACTTACGGGATACTAATGAAACTTCACATACATTTGAAGGCAGTTACAAGCTTTAAAATTACGTTTAAAGTAAGTCTTTAGACTTCTTATTGAGAGTGCTGGGGCCAATTGAAGTGTTTTTCTATTTAATGAAAACACCTTTAAAATATGCATTATTTTGGTTTTGTTATTGCACAACAAATTTAAACTAAGTCCTCGGAAGTCGTGTAGGTACAAAATATAAGATATATATATATATATATGATATAAGATATGATAAGAATCCGCTTAACCATTTCAAAGATCTAGAAAAACCAAAAACGTTACCGCAGCAAAATCTCGAATAACTTCGCAACCGAAGAAAGAACAAATACAAAATAAGGCACAACATTTACTTTATCTAGACAACTCATTTTTACAGCTAATATTTATTTAAATATTCCCATTAGAAAGAAAAATGTCTGGCTGTGGTAACGTTACGCCAGCAGGAAATGTTTTTATGAAATACCTAATTAAAAAACTATAAGCGCAACAAATTTAAAAATGTGCGCACCAATTACAGAAGCCGCACAACTAATTATCTATAAGATTCAAATGACCATTGTCGACAACATCTGGCCTGGGTAACGGTCAGGGCTAGACTAGGTATATTCTTATTGCCAGTATCTTCCTAAATGCTGTCATATAAACAGGATCTTAAAATACATTTTATTCTTACCAAATAGGTACTATGTTCTTAGTCGGGAAATGAAACAACAATTTCTTACGCGCATTAACCTTAACATCCTTGGGCTATCATACTTAAGGTAGGTACGAGGAATTACAAATTGACTTTTTCAATTTTAAAAACATCTTGTCAATTATCTTTATTCATGTTTAAGTGTTTCGTGTAATCCCACAAGCATGTGCAGGGGCCTATTTAGTTTGTCGTGTACCTACAGGTTATTATAAAATGATAACTTATAAGTACTTACAGAAAAAAACAGCTTAATTACGTAAATAATTTATTAATAGGTACATTTTTAATTTTATATATCCTACATTAATTCTCACTACAAAAATCTAGAGGTTGATCTAATAAGCACTACTACTAATAATGTATAACATATAGGTATAGTACGATTTAAACTTAATAGCGGCTATGAACATCATACGTTTCTGCACACTTGCGCGCATGCGTGCGTTCGTGCAGCGGAATGTTGTTGAATTTAAAGATTTTAATTATGCAGATATTTAGTGTATGACGTCGTATAATTGTGTATGGTAAAAAAAAATTGTGCACGCAACCATTGTGGAGAAATTCACCAAAAACTGATTCCGCTGGGCGAACGTTGTCCTGGCGGAACTTTTTTTAATCCATAGACTTTAGAAGAAAAGAGATGTATCCAAAAATTAGTGTGTATTTGTGTGTAATTGTGTATGTATGAATAAAACTAGTGCATGCATAAACTTCGGAGAAATTCAAGTTTCCGCTACGCGAACGTTTGGCCATTAGCTAGTTTTCATATAAAGCGCTTACATAGAGAGCTGTAGATTTTTAAATACGTTGTTTTGAATTTGTTTATATTTGTTTAAAAATCAGATTAAGAAAATATCGTAGCGTTTAAAAGATAAAAATATAAACGTAAAATACGCTTATTAGGTCTTAGTTCTTAAAGTATGCACTTTGATAGATAGATATCTATATAGATATATATATAGATAGATTTTCACGTTTATACAAATCTTGTAAGTGTCTGCAACATGTTTCCAAGTATCAACGATGTTCCGTTAGTAATTAAATAGTTATAGGACAAATTTACCATGAATAGATCACTGTTTACAAAGCAGTCAAATATCACGACTTTCTAAATGAATTGCATGGTAAAATGTCAATGCCAATAATTAGTGTATTCATTCAACTATTCACATGCAAAATGTCATGTCATTAAGTTCAGTAATTAGCGAAAAACAATTATAATACTGACGAAGCATCGAAAACCTACATAACCCGACCAAGTTCGGATGGCTACAAAAAAGCGGCTGTGCAATATATTTAGGTACGAACGCACGCTGCGCGCATTACTGCTGACGTACAGTCGAGCTCATAGTTTTTTGTAATTGTTTTGTTATTTGGTAATTGATTTGTTAAGATTTTTTGATATTGTTCCGTTAAGTCTTAATTGTTCTTGAATTTTGTTTTTATCGGTTCCTTGTTTACCTTAAGTTTTTGACTGTTATTCTTTGTGAGAAGAATATATTGAGTTGGTGTGTTTTAATGTGTCAAGCGGACGATACCACGTTTTATGCAGGGATGCCAGAAAAACGGTGTATAACGTCAAGCAGTTTATAAAAAATTAAAATGAAGACGGCATTCAAATTCCTTTGAAGCTCGTTCAAAAAAGGGTGGCGGCAGCAACATACTTATTGCCAACTGATATTACTTTACGATCTCACTGACTGTACGATCCGCCAGCGGCGCGTGCTGTGTTGATAAAAAGCAACAATATAACAAAATCGAAGTGTACATAAAATTTGTACATCTCATTTTTATGGGTACATCTCCAATGGGTAAATCCCCTATTACTTAGTACATCTCCGCTGTCCGTCCGTCCATAGATAGAATGGTACGGATCTAATATTACAAATATTTAGTAAAACCTATTATATTTTATACCCCGTCGCGTCGAGCGCGGCAACCGTTACACAAAAATAATCCTTATAGCATGATTCAGTGGTCATTTGCTACGGCGCGATAGCTTATTATCCGAACTGCTAAGCTATCAGGAGTTACACGTGCTATTGTGAGTTAACCCTAAAAGATAGACAAACGCCGTAATTTTTTTTTTCATAATTATTTGTTGAATATTTCCGTCTTACATAATGTCTATGTAACTTAAACCATTAGGTTACACACGCGACGGAAACTGCCCAGGAGTATAAAGAATATTTATACCAAGTTTTGTTAAAATCTGTCAAGTAGTTTTTGACAAAAGACAAAAAATTTATGTATTGCATTTTTGGCATCAGTATCGATATCTTATCTCCCCCTGGTAGTTATTTTGAAAATCTATTTAATGTAGGTACAGAATTGACCTCTCTGCAGATTTATTGTAAGTAGGTACCTATAGATACGATACTTAAAATATTCAAGGTATAAAAATAATTAAATCTAACTCAAATTATTGTGAACTTAACTGTACATGTGCGTACCAGCACTCGAAGCTAACTTCACAGACGCCATTAAGATTGAATCGTACTGTATAATTATAATAATACTTTATAAACGAGATGTTTTTCTATTCACACTTATCACAACCACATACCACATCGCAACAATAATATACTGGTTAGGCGTGCATGGTGTCTGTAACGCTACAATTAGTATTACTTTTTTTAGTAGTACGACTATTATGCTTCTTGACAATCATAATATTACGAATTTGAGTAGGTACCTACTAAGTAGTTTTAAAAAGAAAAGATGTTAACGATGTTAAATGTGATATTTTTAAAATTCAAAGCTTTATAGGTAATGAAAAGGTTCCTAGTCATATTACTATATATTGACTATAACATTTTTTGATTATTTTCAACAAGTTTGTTGTTACAAATTATGACTTACGATCTACTTTCCACAAAGGAGACCAATTGCCATTCCGGCAACAAAAGATGCCAGAAATACGTGAGATTCGGTAGCACGATAGTGATCATCTCCAGTTATGTTATGGACCCAGCGTTTAGCTTTGACTTCTTTTTTCTTCAACAGATCTTCAGCTTTGTCCAGTTTACGATCCACAAATCGTTCAACCTTTAACAAAACACATCTATAAAGCTACTCAATCATCTATATCTGTAGGTAATGTTGCCACAATTGAAATATTGCGAAAAATTGCATATGTCCAAAAACAAACCAAACCTACTTGGAACTAGGTATTTAAATAAATGCGTAGAAATATTGATACCTATAATGTTAGCAAATGAACATTAGTTAATAGGAATAAGGCAGAGGAATATGGGTGTGAAAAAAATATACAGAATCTGTTTACATATGTGTATGTGGTTTCCATATTTTTTAGGGATTCTGTTTAACACATGTTACACCACACTTTTCTATCATGTAATTTATGTATTTGAATCAGTAAAATTAACTTTATATAGTCATTTCAATCCTTTGACTCAAACCTAATATTTTTTTATTATTATTCACTGAATAATGTTACCAATTGTACCTTTCCAAAACTCGGCCTTGCATGATTAGATTTATTTTATGAACATGAAAATGAATGTGTTATGTATTGTTTACTAAAGAAAAAGAAATAATTACACAATTTTATTATGCAACTAGGTTTTATCCATAAAGTAAAGACTACAAGCATATTATAAATGATTTAGCAATTTTCTAATTTAATTGCTTCTTCTTTATAATAAATACATTTAAAAATTAAACATCTTTACAAAGTTATAGACTTAATCAAAGTAATCATAAAATAAAAAGTGATTTATTATTTCAGGTAACAAATACACATTAAATTTATTATTATGTTTAATGGCTTGCACACAGTAAACTGTTTGACAAGGAACTCTACTAGATTCGAGTCACGTTAGGTGTTCATATTCATGAGCTGCATTGCGCGTTACACGACGCGGCGAACATCCCGCAACACACTGCGCTGCTCGTGAATGTGCACACCTATGTTTGAAACTACTTGAGTTCCTACTCAAATAGTTATGTGACTAAACTGTTAAACATAATAATTACTTAAATGTACCCGACAAAATTAACCAACTCGAAAACTCACTTCAAAGTAATCAAATTAAATCATGATGAAGCAATACCAAAAAAGAATCCTCCAGTAAACCCTGCTGAATAATAGGTATTATTTTTGACAAATAGCAATACCTGTAACAAATAAACTGTATTTGAAATATTGACTTCTATACCTATCATAGATTTACTTTACTTGGAAGAGACAGGAAAGAAGAAGTCCTAATGAGCACCCATTGATACTTCTAAAGATTTCATTTTATTATATTCAAATGACATTAATGAATAATCGTATAAATACTTCTACATGCCTTGGATAAACTAACAAAATTGTTGAAAACTGTCTTAACATTAACCTTTCAATCATGGTCATTCGGATTAACTAAATTAAGCATTTAATTTTAATTTTAATTTTAGAACATACTAAGGCAATATCTCATTTAATGTTTTTATAAATTTTAATTTTAGAACATACTAAGGCAATATCTCATTTAATGTTATTGTCAATCTCTACTTCAAAAAGAAACATGTAATAACTTTATGTTTAATATTTCAATAGTTATTAGTAGTAAGTAAAATATTCTCATCTCAACTAACTACCCACATAATTTATTATACTGTGTATTTAGTACAAGTTTAAGCTATTCTAAATATCACAAAAAAACTTGCTAAAAGGGCAATTTAAAACAAATTCAAATGAATAAAGTTAAATCATATTTATTTGGTTAATTGATGGTTTCAATGACTTTTTCCTTTTTAAGTATCTACATTGGATTTGAAAGAAAGTAATAAATAAATTCAGAGGATTGATGAGAGGAACTGCAAGGAAGGGTGTGTAAGAAAAAAGCCTATTTAGATGAATTAAATTTTAGTAAAAAAAGTTTGCAATGGAATTCATATAGAGTCATAATAGACAAGAATGTGATAAATAATAAATAACAATACTTACTTTCTCAATCCAATCTGGAGACTTTCCAGTTGCTTCCTTTTCAATCTTATCACTTATTTTATCAACTCTCTTGTTGATTTTATCCCAGTTAATGTCGATGTATCCCTTCTGGCTGGCAATATGTAATAGTATAACACTGCCACCTAATCCAACTGCAGCTATCTTCCCTATTTTCATAGATAGGAAACCAGTAATCCTATAATAAATTAAGTGAAAATAAATATTGAGATTAGATCATCGTTGTCTGAATCATAGTAAAAAAACAAAGGTATTTCTTATGATGTGACCTTGTACAGTGAAGTAAAAATAATATAAAGACGTCAATACAAATTTACTGACTCGCGAAATACGCATTTTATTATTAATTAAACAATGTTAATCCATGTAAACATAATAACCCTAATGACACGAAGTAAAACAAAGAGATGATTGCAAAGTGCACTTACCATCCTGACGTAGTTCCTAAAATTAACTGCTTTGTTGCAGACGTTTTTCCAATATCTGCTACTGCTTTTTCAATAAAATTCTTGGCATCGTCAACTATTTTCTTCGCATCTTCAGCAGCATCTTCTTTCCCTGGCCTAGCCATTTCAAGCAATTATTCTTAATTTGGTTTCAAAAGATTTTTCTTAGATTCGACGAACGCTACAATACAATTTCTTTACACTTTGTGACAATAATTTGCAACTGACAGGACAGGCACTGACAGCTAGCCTAGTAATAATTACCAAAATGTCAAAAGTGCTGCAGTTCGAGTCTCAACATATCTTAGACTAAGGTTTAAAATCTAAGTACAAAATATGTTTTGCATAGTCTTTTTTGTCAGGGGAAAATCATCAAATGACTTCTCCCGCCCAGGGTAAGACGAGAAAGAGTATCAGACTTTTACGGACTAAAACCCCCGTTCCTTCTTCTGCTTTAGGCCGCGGCCGCGATGCCTCACAAAGAGAATAATTTCACAGATTCATTAAAGATAAAAAATATTATTCTCTAATATAAGCACTAGAATTACCTACGTTAAGTGCCTCATTGCGCTTGCACCGCAACCTCATGCTTTGTATAGTCTATGGTTCGAGTTCAGCCATGGGGATAGGTCATAGATTTAGTATTATAGGTCTGTGGGATAGGTACACACTTTATTTGTTGTAGGTATTTCACGCCCTTCAACCAAAAAGTAAAATGAGCAAAGATATTATATAGACAACGTTGTCTATATACCTACAATAAGATTTTTGGTAGGTACTGAGAACATTGACATAGGAAATATATGGACTTGAAATACCTATGAAAAAAAGGTGCCTACCTACAATCCAAAATGTCGCATAAGATGGCTGCCGTTGCTAGGGTTGTGCCGACTAAGTATTTAACGAGTATCGATACAATTTGAGTAAAAGTTCTACGTAGGTATAGTTTTAGGGATTAGCCAGCTGATTAACGGTATTTTTTATGGGAAATCATCTAATGTCATCTCCGGCCTTTTTCGGGACAGACCGTTACTGACTAAAATCAACTGCTGTTCCTACTCTGCCGTCGGCCTAGCTAGAGCCCGGAACCCGGGGTTAACTTGGTCTCTTGATTGGCTAATGATTTTCTCAAGTCGAATTTGAATTCATACAATTCTACGTAAAGCGTCATTTAAAAAAATAGGAGTGTGTTTATGAACAGCGTTTAATGGAATGGTGAAATAGAAAAAGATAGTGTTTGTTAAATGTTTATCTTTATATATGTGGAAAACCTGTGGGTATTTGTGAAGTGCTCGCGCACAATTTCGGCGCGTCTGATTAAGCGATGATATCTTCGAAACTAGGTACGTTAGCACAAAATAGATATGTAGTGAAGTCAATCTTATTGTATGTATCTCACTTTTTATTATTACGCTTGGTAGTCGCACTGGGATCGTCGCCAACGCCGCTCTGTCAATCGCGCCCGTATAATTATAAAACATGATAATTTGAACTTCTACTTATGTAACTAAAACCAATACTAAAATACTGACGTCTTACTTTAGCGTTACACAAAACTGCGGAGACATCCATTGTTGAAATAGATTATTTAGTATAATATATGTTGAATTTTAAATGGGAGATTATATCGATACTTTTGTGAAATGGTACGTAACTATGCCATATTGACATATTATTGTTAACAACAATTTTTTACTAAAACTGTCTCACAGACAGAAATAAAAGTAAATATATATACTTTGGCAATAGATTAAAGTATTCGTGACATTTTTTTCTATCTATGTGGATTATTCTAAGTAATATTTGATGAAAACTGTTTACTAACCTATACAAAGACAATTGAGGTTGATTTTCGTTCTTTTTTGCACCACACTGCACAATACAACACACAGGCATATTGTTTTTTTGTTTCACTATATATATTTGAAGTTTAAAAAAAATGGTTCTTTGTAATTTACTGAAAAACCGCAATAATTTAGAACATAAACAACCGTTTGACAGCACAACTACCATGAAACTCAGGTACTCTGAGCGCTTAAGATGGCGGACATGGCACTTACCTACAACTTTGCTAATGTCAAAATGATTTGTTTCCATATTAAGCAACAACTTAAATATTGTTGTCCCTTTTGTCTAATACAATTATTGCCATAGAAAGAGTGAGAAAAAATGATATTTCATTTTCACACGGCGCCTCTATATATTTTCCATTGAGATAGAAAATATATAGAGGCGCCGTGTTACTATAGAAGTATACATGCTTATACAAATATGAGGGAAATATGAAACAAACTATGAAATATCATTTTTTCTCACTCTTTCTAAGGCAATAATTGTATTAGACAAAAGAGACAACAATATTTAAGTTGTTGCTTAATATGGAAACAAATCATTTTGACATTAGCAAAGTTGTAGGTAAGTGTCATGTCCGCCATCTTAAGCGCTCAGAGTACCTGAGTTTCATGGTAGTTGTCATGTCAAACGGTTGTTTATGTTTTAAATTATTGCGGTTTTTCAGTAAATTACAAAGAACCATTTTTTTAAACTTCAAATATATATAGTGAAACAAAAAAACAATATGCCTGTGTGTTGTATTGTGCAGTGTGGTGCAAAAAAGAACGAAAATCAACCTCAATTGTCTTTGTATAGGTTAGTAAACAGTTTTCATCAAATATTACTTAGAATAATCCACATAGATAGAAAAAAATGTCACGGATACTTTAATCTATTGCCAAAGTATATATATTTACTTTTATTTCTGTCTGTGAGACAGTTTTAGTAAAAAATTGTTGTTTACAATAATATGTCAATATGGCATAGTTACGTACCATTTCAGAAAAGTATCGATATAATCTCCCATTTAAAATTCAACATATACTAAATAATCTATTTTAACAATGGATGTTTCCGCAGTTTTGTGTAACGCTAAAGTAAGACGTCAGTATTTTGGTATTGGTTTTAGTTACATAAGTAGAAGTTCAAGTTATCGTGTTTTATAATTATACGGGCGCGATTGACAGAGCGGCGTTGGCGACGATCCCAGTGCGACCACCAAGCGTAATAATAAAAAGTGAAATACATACAATAAGATTGACTTCACTACATATCTATTTTGTGCTAACGTAGTTTCGAAGATATCATCGTTTAATCAGACGCGCCGAAATTGTGCGTGAGCACTTCACAAATACCTACCCACAGGTTTTCCACATATATAAAGATAAACATTTAACAAACACTATCTTTTTCTATTTCACCATTCCATTAAACGCTGTTCATAAACACAGTCCTATTTTTTTAAAAGACGCTTTACGTAGAATTATATGAATACAAATTCGACTTGAGAAAATCATTAGCCAATCAAGAGACCAAGTTAACCCCGGGTTCCGGGCTCTAGCTAGGCCGACGGCAAAGTAGGAACAGCAGTTGATTTTAGTCAGTAACGGTCTGTCCCGAAAAAGGCCGGAGATGACATTAGATGATTTCCCATAAAAAATACCGTTAATCAGCTGGCTAATCCCTAAAACTATACCTACGTAGAACTTTTACACAAATTGTATCGATACTCGTTAAATACTTAGTCGGCACAACCCTAGCAACGGCAGCCATCTTATGCGACATTTTGGATTGTAGGTAGGCACCTTTTTTTCGTAGGTATTTCAAGTCCATATATTTCCTATGTCAATGATATTTTCTATCTCAATGACTGAGAAAGATAAATTGTCATTATTGTCAATAATGTCATTGACAATCAGCTGCTTGAAAACGATGAATGTGAATGTGCAGTGCTAGATTTCTGTGCGTCTGCCGATAGAGGAAAATATTACTTTATGAATAAATATGAGAGTAAAATTAATGAATTACGAATAAGAAAAGTAATCGATAAAATATAATTTATATTCATGATCGAATGAAATCATGAAAGTTCTCAGTGTTAAATTGTTTCAAATAAATAATTATCAGAGAACACATTTGTTTCGTAATTTTCGACAATGTTTTGTATACAGAAGAAAAAGCAGTTTAAGGTTATGGGTAAATAATTTAATTATTAATTTTATTTAATTAAATACCTACTTCAAATGGTATCAGTTTTATTTGTTGTGATAGTGTTAAGAAAATGCAAATATTTAATGTGTTTTGTGTATTAAATATAAGGAATTGTTTCCTGTTAAAACTTATTTGCTATTCACACAAATTAAATTTATAGAACAAGTTTAGTAAGCAAAATTCCATTTGTGTATTAAATAATTTGTATCATGTTTCATAACTCTTATTGACTTATTTTAATCATCAGGAACAAGACATTAACACTGAAATTAAATTGAATATTGAAAAGCAATGGTCTAATGTTGTCAGAAGATCAGCACCCAACAATGGAATGAAACCATACTATGTGTTGCCTATGTTTCCTTATCCGTCAGGGAATTTGCACATGGGTCATGTTCGAGTATACTCTATCTCAGACACCATTGCAAGATTTGAACAATTAAATGGAAGATATTCTATTCACCCTATTGGATGGGATGCTTTCGGTCTACCAGCAGAAAATGCAGCCATAGAAAGAAATATTCCTCCTAGCCAATGGACGAAATCGAATATAAATTCGATGAAAAATCAGTTAGAGAAGCTGGGGTTTAATTTCGATTGGAAAAGAGAAATTTCTACATGTGATCCTGGTTATTACAAATGGACGCAATTTATATTTCTAAAGTTATTTGAAAAAGGCTTAGCCTACCAAAGTAAGGTATTGTTCTCATCATAAATATTTACTTTTGTTTACATAATCTTATTCAATTCTTTTTATGGAAATGGGGTAAACAAACACCTGATGGTAAGTAATCTGTGTCATCTATGGACAACTGCAGCACCAGACGAGTCACAGGTGAGTTACCAGCCTTGTGAAATAGGTCACTGGAGCTGGGCTTCATTGATGCTTATTAAGCTGGGCCATCCAATGATGTATAGCTTTATATTACTTACTTTGAAATTTTAATCATCATATCAACTTCAGGCACAAGTTAATTGGGATCCAGTAGATATGACAGTTTTGGCTGATGAACAAGTTGATGATCTTGGTTGTTCATGGAGATCTGGTGTTAAAGTTGAAAAAAAATACCTGACACAGTGGTTTATAAAAACAACGAAATTTGCTAAAGCCCTGTATGATGGTCTAGACAGTGACGAGTTGGAAAATTGGAAAGATATTATCAATTTGCAAAAACATTGGATTGGAGAATGTGATGGAGTTGTAGTAACTTTTAAACTGGAAGTAAATGGGGAAATGAAAACTTTTGATGTTTGGACTTCAGAACCTTATAAATTTATTCATGGTGATTTTTTAATAATTAATTCAAGTCATCCATTAATCCAAGATTTAAAATCTCATGGAAGAAGCACGCTTGTATGTTTAAATCCTGTATCAAATTGTGAATTACCTGTTTATGTAGTTGATGATTTTAACTACCCAGAAGGAAGAAATGTCTATATTGGTTGTTCACAAATAGATAGTGAAGATAAGAAAGCTGCTCAATTGCTAAACATACCTGTTAGTAGACAACAATTAAAAATCGATATTGAGAGAGAAAATAGCCAGGCAGTTGAAATGGCACTTAAGAAAAATGTTGGTGGTCACTTTGTTAGCTCCAAACTCAAAGATTGGCTTATATCCAGACAAAGATACTGGGGAACTCCTATACCAATAATTCATTGTAAAACATGTGGTACAGTTCCTGTTCCTTATGAAGATCTTCCCGTAGAACTACCTGAAATTCAGTCTAGTGCAGGTATACAAACCTTAGAAAAGTTAGAGCACTGGAAAAAATGTATATGCCCGAAGTGCCAATCCAGTGCAACAAGGGAAACTGACACCATGGACACATTTGTGGATTCTTCATGGTATTATTATCGTTTCTTGGATCCAAATAATAAACTAATGCCTTTTTCTAAAGAACAGGTTGTTGATCACATGCCTGTTGATATTTATGTTGGAGGCAAGGAACATGCTGTGTTGCATTTATATTATGCTAGATTTATGAGTTATTTTTTGCATTCACTTGGATGGACACCTACTAAGGAGCCTTTTAAAAAGCTAGTGGTGCAAGGAATGGTAATGGGACAGTCTTATAAATTAAAGAGTTCTGGGAAATACATACCTCCAGATCGGGTTGAAAAAGTTGGAAAAGAGTATATAGAAAAGAATACGGGTGAAGCTGTGATAACTCAATGGGAAAAGATGAGCAAATCTAAATACAATGGTGAAAATCCTGAAAGGTTACTTGCCACATATGGATGTGATACCACTCGACTTTTGATTCTCGCTGATGTACCCCCAGCGACGCCCAGGCGCTGGTCAGATGCAAGTGAGTGATCTTAAACTTAATACTACTTACTAGAAACATACCTATTTTGAATAGGTTGTCTTTTACGAATTTTTAGCAAATGCAGCTAAGTAATTACCAAAACATAATATTAGTGTAAAATAGGGCTGTGTGCTAGCTGCAAATTTGTCAGTTTTGTAATCTGCCATTTTATAAGTTATTTATGGTTGTTCGATATTTTGTGTCCTACCTAATTTTAATGAATATGTTTTTGAAGCATTACCTGGCGTGTTAAATTGGCAACATCGACTATGGATGACGATGAGGGAATTTTTGAATCATCGTAATAACGTACCAGAAGTAAATACTCTGACTCCTGAAGAATATAATAAACATGAATACAAAATATGGGATTCCAGAAATTATTTAATTGCCACTACAACATACCATTTCAAACACACTCAAAAGCTGAGTGTTGGCATTTCAAGACTCCAAAGTTTAACTAGCGTTCTAAGGGTAATTATTTTCTTCATTAGGAATCAAATTTGAACAAAGTTATGCTCGAAATTTCGCACTGTCAACCGTGTTGATGTTTATGTAATATTTCAGAATAAAGTACCGCCTGAAGTAATAACTAAGAGTAAGGAATACGAAAAGGCGTTAGCAGTGTTAATCATTATGTTGGCACCAGTGACACCTCACTTTTGTTCTGAACTCTGGGCTGGCCTACAGTCTGCACCTCATAGACTAACTGAGTCATCCAATATGATTGACTGGGGGAAAGGCGTACTCGAACAGACTTGGCCGAAAGTTGATGAAAATTATGAGTTGTCATTTTTATGTAAAGTAAGTATTTATTGTCAATAAATTTTATTATTTATTTATTATTAATTAACACGCCCCTGGACACAAGCAAAGCAGGCAAGCAGGCCGCAAGCAAAAAATCTCTAAAAATTTCTTCAAATTTAAGCTGCATTGTCATAGTAAGTAATTGTGGGAGAGCCATGCTTGGGCACCGATGAGTCAGCTCGACCGGTGTGATACCATGGCCTCACAGAAAACCATCGTGAAATAACCACAGCGTTGTGTTTCGTCGTGTGAGTGAGGCTACCGGAGGCCCAATCCTTCCCCTACCACAATCCCTCCCCATTCCCAAAATCTCCAAATCCCTAATCTCCACTCGTATCTACTCCGTCGTTGCGGGTGTCCATAGGCGATGCTGATTGCTTACTATCAGGTAATCAAATTAAGTGAAGGTAAAGTAAGGTAATAAAATAAGTTTTTTTAAGTCATAGAACAACTGAAAGAACTAGGTATATTAAAAATAAATAAAATGATAACTAGTATTATAAAAATAACATTTTCAGGTTGACGGGGCAGACAGATGTGAACTTAAATTAAAATCTAGTGACCTCCTAAGTCTCACTCACGAGAAGGCAGTACAGATGATGCTTAATCAGGAGTCAGTCAAAAAGAGACTTACAACTGAAATACACAAGACTAAATTTGAGTTGTATCCTCATTGTCGAGCAATACTACACATATATCCGAAGAAAAAGAAGGTTAAACAAGAAAAAGTAACAGACTCTGTGGTATAAATAGATATAGTTTAATAATGGTTGTTTCGTTAAATATAATAATAAATAACTAAATCAAACTAATTTGACTTTTAACGGTGACTTTTAAGTCTAGCAATTGGCAATACTGTAACATAAGACCGTGTCAGTACAATAATCATCAAAACTATATATTTTAAATTTTCATTTTCCTATATAAAACAGTATTAAGCTACTTTTGTATTGACTTTCCGACAAACGCATTTTGTTATGCTTTCAAATGGTACCTAGTCGTAGTTAACAGTACCTCCACCGTATTAAGTCTGTAATACATACAAAGTATTAAAATACTCTTATATCTACGACCCTACACTGCGAAGTGGCTGTTATCTCGTGCTTCTCGCTTTCTTCCCTCTAAATATTTCATCCTTGTACATTCTGATATTTGCTGCAGAATCCTAAAAAAGAAAACGTTATTAATTAAACGATCACAACACCCGGTAATTAATTTCACCAACGTATTTAATGAAGTTATCAAACACATTATTTTTATCTTTATAATGTATGAAACTGGGTTTAATTAATAGCAATGCGATAATCCTAGGAGGAAATGTTTAATGTAGGTACTGAGTCTGTAGTAGGGGTTTATCATTGACTAGCTACTCTCGCGCGGTTACACCCGCTGCTCAGCTCCATTTAATCGTAGCGTGATGTTTTATAGCCTATAGCTCTCTCAGGAACCTTGTAGCTATCTATCAGTGAAAGAATTTTGGCAATCCGGCCAGCGGTTCCAAAGATTACCCCCTACATACATACTTACAAACATAAAAACTTCCAAATTTTAACTTTATAATATTAGTATAGATTTTACACTGATTCAAACTGCACATCTGTAGGTACCCACCTTAACATAAGTATTCTATAAATTTTAGTGTTAAAACTTTTTAAGCTGGCCTCACACTAATTGTTACAAAACATAAAAAATTAGATCACACCTAGGCAGGAAACAACAATTTCTAAATCACACAAAGTTACTTTGGGATCGAGACCGCGACATGTTGCAGACATTTGCTAAGCCATTGAGCCCACCGCGAACGAAGCATTTTTTATGTAGGTATAAGTCGAAGGAAATTAGATCAATATTTAAGTGTGCGAGAGGCGTTCAGCAGGGATGCTCCGATGGCCGCAAGAAAACCGGCGTGAAACCTCTTACGATGTGTTTCGTCCTGTTAGTGAGGTTACCGGAGGCCCAATCTTCTTTCACCCATCCTCTATCCTCTATCAGTTTAGCCCTAACAACCCACAAAGGCCTGCAACGTACTTGTAGAACTTCTTTGGTATGGCGGCGCCAATTAGGTAGGTACTTACCATTAGGTAATTGGCGACGCCCGTTTGCCAACCTATGACATAAAAAAAAGAACCACAAAATAATTACCTTCTTAGCTTCCCTCCACTCTAAATTCCGAAGACGACTCAGTCCTTTAAGATTACGATCTAATATTTTTAAGAACTCCGCTCGTGTAATTTTTGGCGTCTCGGTGGTACCATTATTTGAAGGATCTGGAGTGGTAGTCACTGCCTGTTAAGCCATAAAAAAATTACAAACAGTCTTTATAGTAGGTACTCTAAAAATGCCTGCATCTCTGCGATCTTACCTACTTGATAAATAATAGTTAGTAGGTAGGTACTAAATACCTACTAGTGGGTAGGTAAATAACGTTTATTTAATAAATACTTACAAAAAACTTTTGAAAATATTAATAAACTAAACATTTTTTCATAAATCATCTTTCTAAACTCTATACCTATTTAATTAAATAGAAAATATAATATCTATTTGAGGTGGCCTATTACAATGATTTGATTACCTACATAATTAGATGTGAAAGTAACTTGCGTTTAGGCTGGTGTTAATAGGGGTACTATAGATAATATCATTGTTAGGATTTAAATTATGATTATTTTCAATAAACCGCCACCACATTACCCGTGCCTAAAGCCGTTAACAGCAACCGGAATATACTAGTTAGACCATATTAGATATGTCTGTCTACCATATATTATCGCCATCTAAATCGTAATTCCAAAAAATTTTTATAACAAAATAAAGATGGTGGTTCATTGTATTACTAACAAATAATTAAGTATTAAATATACTAGTAAGATACCTTTGTGGATCAATAAATACATTTTAATTTTTATTATTCTGTATGTCTACCAATTACGGGACCACAGGGACGCGGTCATTTGGGAGGCGTACATACGTACATACGAGGGGCCGGAGCCAAATAGTGGCCCTTTAAGACAACGAACTTTAAATGAAATGGGATACTATTATTATTAAGTGGCTAGACTACTAGGCATACCTAAATAATTGCTCATTATTGATATTGCTAATGCAAAACTACTTAATTATCAGTTTTCTAAATTGCCCATTAACAATAGGTAATTTCATTACAACAATTAAAGCGAAGTTAGCACAAAGCACATTTGTCACTATTAGAAAGCAGTTTGTGGGATTTCTGATTATTTTGGGCATTACTGGACTATTTTACAATGTTTACCTTTGAAATAAAGAATCAGTACCTACTTAGAAATGTAGGTTCTGCCAGAATTTGTTCAGAAGACAATCCCGCAATCCCAATATTAGATCGTCCTAATCCACCTTAGTCGTAAACTTACCTTAGTTGTATAACTATCGTACTTACGTTGTCATCGGCAAATTGACTGTTTACTAGATCAGATATTTGATTGTAAGCGCTTTTGGTGTCGTTGATTTGCTGTAAATAACGAATATGAATATTTTCATGGTTCTACAATGATTTGCTTGGATGATCACGGAGCAAATGTTGGTACCTAGGTAGGTACTTGCTCCATGTGACTGACGTAATTATGTACATTATTATGTTTCATAACCGCATACATATTTTATGTATAAGTAAGTAAAACCCATGTTGCGGCATAAAGATTACAATAACCTTCTGCGTCAAGACAACCACAGAAGGTTGTACCTACTTCCTTTATGTAACTACTGAGTGGAAAAGCGGCACTGATTTAAAATTATATAATAAGCAATAAATACGTACCTCTAAAATGACATGAAAAATGGTCCCAAAAAATCCCCTTTTTGGAGTCCCGGCAACGTGTCTACCTGCTCTAGTAGCAGACTGTCTTGCATTACGGTCTTTTTCGATTATTTCATCAGCTGTTGACTGAAAAATCACATAATATCGGTATACTTTATTATTCAATTAAATAATTTTCCAAGGATTTCCACTATGATTTTCGATGATTTTGGAAAAGGAGTAGCCAGTGGCCTTCATATGATCAGTTGAAATGTGGTGTCATTGGGTGTGGTCCATCGCTTAATCGCCATTATCTAATACTTAATTGAAAACTCAATTATGATTTTCGTAATGCCTACACCATTCTCCGTTTGAGCCTGAAGAATTAGGCAGCTCTGGGAAATTTTATGATCATGTGTTCGACTCAGGTTAACTGAATAAAATAATGGATACTTACTGGCTGGATACTGAGACATGGCGATATGATAGCGATGAATACGATTGCAACTAAAACGTAATGCTGCACACTGGTTGCCATGGCTGATCTTCACTGTAGACGGACGCCACCCCTGAATAAAAGACCACTTGAAATAGTTATTTATAAAAGATACTGCTTACATAAGAAGGTACCAACCCCAGACTAAAACAACTGCAAAAATCAAGATACTCAGTACATATGTAGCTACTAGGTGGCTTAGGTACGCTATTTACCCAAATATGTACATGTTAAATAAAAGTAAACACTAAACAGTAAGGGGCTGCCTCCACGAGCGAGAGAATCGCGACGAGTCCGCCCTTATATCGTCGGATAATCTCCACGAACGAGTGATAATTCGCGTATCGTCGCGAGTCGTTACGGTATCGCGGCGACTCGTAACGGTATCGCCGCGTTTCCTTGACGTCACGTTGCCAAAGAAGGGATTCAGTTACGTGCCAGACGAGAGCGAAATAAGTAGTGTCTTAGTCTTTATTATGGATATAGTGTTGTGGGGTGCTGTGTTGAACATCATAAAGGGCAGGTCTCTCTCTCTCACTTCAAGTACAAACTTTTCAATGTCAAACATTGTACTTAAAAAGCTTCTAGAAACGTCTTCGCTTAACGAGAGGCAATGCTGAAATGACGCTGCGTTTGACAGCGCGCCCGCCACGTGCTCGTCGCGAGAGCGTCGCGAGCGCGCGTTTCTAGAAGCTTTTGAAGTACAATGTTTGACATTGAAAAGTTTATACTTGAAGTGAGAGAGAAACCTGCCATTTATGATGTTCAGTTGGCCGAGTATCGAAACATAATCGAGTATCTGGCACGTAACTGAATCCCTTCCTTGGCAACGTGACGTCAAGGAAACGCGGCGATACCGTTACGAGTCGCCGCGGAGTCGCCGCGATACCGTAACCACAGTATAAATATCATACAGTATTGTAACTCGGCCGCTTGAAAGAAATAAATACCTACAGCCGCGCGGTACGTAAACATGCGTTAGGGCTGCTCGTCTCCAGTATTTTAATTACCTTTGTCTACTTTCTGTTTCCATTTAGTTTTGTGATTGTAAATATCCTTTTTTTTATATAAACAAATAAAGTGCTTTAGAAATAAACAAACAAAATTTCTTTGGCCACTAATGCCGAACTGAACAGCTGACTACGAATGTTCTAAAATCACAACCCTCAAACATCAAAATATTACATGAGTCTAGCTGTTTTATTGTTGTTATTAAATATTTTCTAGTAGTATTCATAAACGCAGATAATAAACAAATATTATTAATAATAAAATACCACACTCTCTACTTTGAATTTTACAAACTAACAAAACATACATGAACCGTTTTAACACAAGCGTAAGTAGGTAGGTACGTAACGTATCATGATTCATTCAGAACCAGAACCGCCTATAACTACCTATTTCACTCGTCTCAATAACTTTATTCATATTATTTTTAAATTCAAACATCTGTTTTCGTGAGATAACTGGAAATAATGATCCATAAAGACACACATTATGTACCTACCTAGGCTACTAGTAAGTAAAATTATTTTATAGTCTTACCTTTCAGAGTTTCCAGGTAATTTAAAAAAAACTTATGTCTGGATGCGTTATTGACGAATTCATGCAACCAAACATAATAACAGCACAATATTTCCTATTCGTCATATTAAATAATGTACTTGAGCTGATTTCTGAATAAAAGACAACACACCGTCCGTTCGTCACTGCGGTACAGCCGCGTCTGTCTGCGTCCCGAGCGCGTCCCGACATCGGGCGCGTAGGTATAGTTCGCGTTTCGGCCGTTTCTATGAAGTTGAAATACTTGTAGATATTATTACCTTGCCGTAACCACTCGCGACGATACGCGGCGGAATTATCACTCGTTCGTGGAGATTATCCGACGATATAAGGGCGGACTCGTCGCGATTCTCTCGCTCGTGGAGGCAGCCCCTTAGATATACAAGTAGTAAGTAAGTACCTACTTACTGAATAAGAATTAAATAATTAAAAATTAAAAGCTTAGGTAAGCCTTCACTTTTATGCTGATTTATGGTCTCATTGACTTATCGTGGGCAACATATGTACCTACTTTATGGTAGACATTATTAGGTGGTTAACTAAAGGTACCTAAACAGTCTTGGTATGTCTTTTGGTATTAGCGAGGTCGTATAAAATACCTACATACAAAGATTATTTTAATTAAGTAACATCGATTTACGTAAATGCATGATTGTTAACTCTTTTTTTCACATACCAATTTTAAAACATCTTTTGTATAAAAAGACTTGCCAAGATTGTTGTCGTTTAGTTAATTACCTTAACCAATAGATCGTTTATGTGTTTCAGCTCTAGCTGCACTGTACGCTGCAGGGCTTCAATATTTAGGATCAATTCCGCATAAGTCTTGATTAGATTGAAATGTAATTAGATATAATAAATAAATAATACCGTCAATCGGAGACCATACATGAAGATTAATTAATGAAAATTAATCAATGAATGAAAAGTTTCTTGGCAAACAATAAGCCACCGCCGCTTTTTTTTTTGACGGTGGCTCTTTATTGGCCTCTCTTCCTGGCGCTTGCGCTTTCGGAGGCCAGAGATAGTCGCGGGATCCCCGACGCGCAGAGAGTCTCCTACAGCGTCGGCTGGGGTGGAGGAGGATTGTTCCCTCACGCGCTCCTCTTATGCTACCATCACTTATTCGCAGAAATAGGTGATGACTTCTTAGTTCCTCTCACTCCGCACAATGGCCTCGACTAAGGCCGGTCTCTACAGGTCGCGGCCCCGATTACTTTTCTGAGGACCTCAGAAAATGGACAAAGAAAATGGAAAAAGCCCGCCTCCGGGCTGTTCTCACAAAGACGACACCCAAACTTCCCTCCCGCTATATCCCGAAACTAAATTACAAACTTTCCGTGTCCGGTAAGCAAATGCACCAGCCCGAATGTCAGGCGCCATGGCGTCTCTAACCATTCCTCGAACAGGGCTTTTACCGCTGGTATAATAACGAGAAATAATGACTTTAATATTGGAGGTGTTAGTCCTGCCGCATGTTTACATACTGCGCTGTAGTAGGTAGGTACCTATACAATAGTTATACTAACTACCTACATACTCCGTAGGTACTATAGGAGGCTATACCTATACCTATGTTGCCACTCCTATACTTATACCACTATAGTAGGTTCATTAAGTGTGGGCAGGTATTATGAAAGGTGTCATTAAACTTAATGCTTACGAAAATTACGTCCGTCATTTAGTTTGCTCTCACATTTACTTTTCTTTCATTTTGTAATCTGTGTTTCATACATCGAGAAAATTTTCTCGACGGTTTCATAAATGAACAGTTCACTTGAAGATGAAGTAGGTAGGTAGTGTAAGTACCTACCCAGTTATGTAGGCATGTACAAACATTCGTTACATACATCAGAATTTCTATAAATACAGCAGGAACATTTATAAAGATAAGTAGGTACCTATGTGTTGGTAAAATCTCATGTAAAACCTAGATCCTTTTTATGGTCAAAGTGATACGAACTTATTTTGTGACATTTAAGCGGACATCGCCTTCGCCTACTACCTACCTAGTACCTAATAGAAATGGCAATCTTTATCATAATACCTACTTAAAAAATTATTACCTAAGTACGTACTTACTTAAATTAATAAGGTAGTAAGTACCTACCCTTAATAGAAATACCGCATTTTGTATCTACATGAACTACAACTAAGATTTCGCGGCGATGATTACCTACCTACGCTGTGGATAAATTCTTATTTATTACGTAACGACCTAGTATCTGATTTAAAGATCTCATTTAGGAATAGATTATGTAGGTATATCGCACCTTCAGAACTGTAGGGACTTAAATCAAAATTTCAAGAAATCGAGTATCGGTCATACTTGGGCCACACTAACGGGAAATGCCATTAAGTATCGCGATAATCGAATGTGGAATTTGATCACTAAACAAATGACAAGGTATATTTTTTATTGTTTAATATTATCAATTTATCGCGATTATTATTGGCATTTCCCGTTGGTGTGACCCAAACATCAGAGTGTCACTAAAAGACACGTACCTACTATCATGTTTCAATTAAAACATCGGCATTTTTATGTTAAAATAGAAATTACGATTCTTCGGTCCCCTTTGCACCTACCTACTCTCTACCGCCACCCGTGTCGCTCGGATCGGCAGTGACGCGATTGTTACACACATTTAACGTTGTAGGGACTAGGCTCACTGCTTTACCTAGTAAAATCGTACATGCAATTATAAATATGAAAACACGGCGTTGAAACATAAAATTGCTTGCCTTTCGTAAGGAGCTGTAGAACTTTTCAGAGAAAAACCAAACAGAATGTTATCATACGCACCCACCTAACATATTAATAAACTAATTGATTTAATTTTAATGTTATAGGTAAGTATTTTCATTAGGTATAATTGTACCTTCTACCTAACTCTATTTTAAAATGATATATTTTAATAATGTTGTGTATTTCTATCTCAAGTTAGGCATACTGGACCATATTTATATTTAGATTTGTTATACATATATGTATTATCTTATTTAATCAGTCAACAAAGTATCGGGAATGAATGTGTTTTTTATGGTTCCAAATTCGAATTTTAATTTTTTTTGTTATTGTTAGATTGGCATAACTGTTTTCCATTTTGGCGCGGAATTTTGTGTGAGTGCTGTTTTTAGTTTTATAATATCTAGTGTGTATTGCGAATTTCATAATGGACAAAAACATCGAACAAAGATTTTGTCTTAAATTTTGCATCGCCAATGAAATTTCGTGTTCGGGGGCACTCAAGATGTTACAGAAGGCTTACCGGTGAATCGACTTTATCAAAAACACGTGCTTGTGAGTGGTACAAAGCGTTCAAAAGCGGTCGAGATGTGATGGAAGATTTGCCTCGTTCTGGTAGGCCATCAACGTCTGCAACTGAAGTTAACATCGCAAAAGTGAAGGAAATAGTGACTGAAAATCCTCATTCAAGTTTGACAGAGATGGCCGCCGAACTTTCTGTATCTCACGAGTCGATCCGTACCATTTTAACAAATAATTTGGGTATGAAACGTGTTGCCGCTCGGCTAGTCCCAAAAGACCTGAATTTTCTTCGAAAACTAAATCGCATGAAAGTCGCTGAGGACATGCTACAACGAGTCAATACCGACCCAACATTCATGAAACGCATTGTTACTGGTGACGAGACATGGGTTTACGAGTTTGACATGCAAACTAGTCAACAAGCTTCGGAATGGCGCCTTCCAACTGAACCAAAACCGAAAAAACCACGTCAAAGTCGATCAAAAATCAAAGTCATGTTGACTGTTTTCTTTGACTATCGCGGTGTTGTGCACTCAGAATTCTTGCCCGAAGGTCAAACGGTAAATAAAGAATATTATTTGAGCGTTATGCGGCGTTTAAGAGAACAAATTCGACGAAAAAGGCCAGAAATGTGGAAAGAAAATTCTTGGATTTTGCATCACGATAATGGGCCTTCGCACAAGGCCATCATTGTAAACGATTTTTTGTCCAAACACTCAACAAACACCATCGAGCAGCCACCATATTCACCAGATGTGGCTCCAGCCGACTTCTTTCTTTTTCCCACACTCAAATTACCCCTTCGTGGCACCCGTTTTCAATCGTTAGAAGACATAAAGGAGAATTCGCGGCGAGCACTGAACTCAATTCCGGAAACAGCGTTTAAAAAAAGTTTCGATGATTGGATTATTCGTTGGCGTAAGTGTATCGTTTCTGAAGGAGCATACTTTGAAGGTGATAAAATAGATTTAGATGAATAACAAACATTTTGTGTATTATTGACTTTTTCCCGGTACTTTCTTGACAGAGTAGTATATAAAAATGGATCGCAAAATGTGTTGGTAAGCGCATAACTCAACAACGCCTGGACCAATTTTGCTAATTCTTTTTTTGTTGTGTTTGGTATTGGCGGGAGAAGGTTCTTATCAAAGAAAATATTAGAAAAGTAGTGGGGAGAGTTGGGTAATAGGGACCCTTTCATCGTAAGCGAGATGATGAGACCCGTGCGAAGCAGGGGCGAGCTGCTAGTATTTAGATATAAATGTGTAAGACCTTATTGAAACAATGAATTTAGTTTTGCAAATAGGTCATAAAACGTCACTTTGACACGTCAAAATTACATTTGAAAAACTAGACGAAGCCAGCTTTTCATATCTGACTACTCTAAGAAAAAATGCCGAAACAAACTCCCGTCTTACAAGAGCATACAATCAATCCCGTTTCTTTTCAAAAAAATAATAATAACATAACACACAACAACAGTTGTTACCTAGTGTGATAAATTGATAATGGACTATTATCACACTAGGTGTGTGTCAAATTGTATACCTACTTATTAAAAAAAAATACTTAACTCATGTTGTTTCTGTGTCTATTCACCCCTCGAATTGTAGGTATTCACCCCTCGAATTGTAGGTATTCACCCCGTTTTACGGTACCTACATACATTGACATCTACGAACCACTTATTTTCTGAAGCCTGTTGGATATTGTGTAGGTACCTAAGTATAAAATATTATGTTATCTACCAATGTTAAACAAATAAATGATCCTGATTTTATAAAAAAGCCTACGGAACTATACCGACAACAGAAGTAGTGCATTATTAAGTAAGTAGGTATTTGAACCCTTTTACAAATTCAATCTCTTTCGTAACACAGAAATGCGGAAAATCAAACCCGTCTTACAAGATCAACTTCACTATTCCAAAGTTAAACAAGTTAGTGATATAGGTACCTTATATGTCTACCAAAGATACTTAAGCCAGTTGATTGGGTTGATGTAACGACTTGACAGTTGCAAGTACCTACTTAGGTTTTTTTTATTTAATCATGAACAATTTATATTGTATTTGATGTAAGTATATTATGATACAAATTTGCAGGTATCTAAATATAATAGATAAGTTTCTCCATTTAAACTTATCTCGTCTGAGCTTTTCTTAATCATATGATTGTAGCTACCTATAATATCTAAGTAGGTAGGTAGCGGGGTCAGCGCAATGCGTCGAGAAAATATCCAGGTTATTTTCACAAAAGACGGATGGCCTGATGATAGGCAATCGAACGCGGCAGCGCTGCAGATCAAACACCCAAGCGACCCGCAACACCAGAGGAAACACAGATGCGTTGCCGACCCTTTTAAAAATTTTTACGCTCGTTTCATTGTTAACTCAGAAAAAATAAATTCACTTAGTGGATTACACAACACTTATTTTATTTTATATAAAATAAGTGTTTTGTGCGGGATCGAACCTACAAGACGTCATACAACCATTGCGCTTAATGTGCATTCGAAACAACCGGTTTGTGCATACCTAGGTAAATCTATTCGCTTAATATTCATGTTCCAAGTATATGGTAACCTGTCAATGTTTACCGATCTTTAAATTTTCGTAAGCGAAATGTCAGGTTTCTTTCTCCCGGACAAGCAACGTGAAGGTATTGGGGCCAATACCTATATTATGACGCACTGCTCGAGGTCACCCATCGCCAGACTGACGACGACGACGTTGCTTAACCTTAGAGTGGTTCCTTTCGTTCGTGAAGTGTTAAAATAAATAATTTAAATGTTTTCAAGGTGAAAAAATATCCACCGAAGACGAACAGTGTGTTTACATACCTACGTGCAATATTCTACAAAAGTAGGTACCTACTTACTTAATTAAAACCTGTTGATTATGTGCTTGTATAACTCTTAAATACTTTACAATATGTAGGTAGGAGGTACCTTTTACCTATTTCCACTTCCTACAGATACCTAGCAATTAAATTATTATCTCTAAAATCTAGTGAACCTAATAATTTTCGACTTCAATTTAGTCACCATCGAGGGTGGAACAGGTATGCAGGTAGGTACCTAATTAGATACCTCTAGATACGTTACTACATGCCCTTAGTGTAATAATAAACTCATGCCCAATGCCCGAAACCGCCCGAACCTTCACGAAATAAAAAATAATAATTGCACAAGTAAAGGATTATGTAAGTGCATATTTTAGACTAATTAAAATGGGTGTTACTGTATACATAAAAATATCTACCTACCGATGTTAATGTATGTAGACAGATAAGGTAATATAAAATCGAGATCGATCGATCGAAAAGTTAAATAGGTACCTAAATACTATCTAAGTATTAAAGATTTCGGTGAGTAGGTAACATTAAAAAATTAGCTATAATGAATAATCTAGCTCATTAAGTACCTACTAAGTAAATACAAGTTAAACAAGATTAGGTATTTCTTATACCGCCAAAGGTTCAAAGCACTGAAGAAACACTAAAAGTCTGTAACCTAAACTTCTACCACAGGAGTCAGTATCCAATCGCCGCGACGGTGTTTCACATGACACGGTGCATCAAGACGCAAGACGCTAAATCCAAACAATAATTTATTCAGTTAGTTTTTTGAGGAGTTTGACCAAATTTGGGACACTTACTAATTTTACTTTTTTATTAAAAAGAGGTAGTAGAGAACCTAGGTACTTCTTTTTTTATTCAACACAAATACGAAATACAATAATCACATTTACATAAACATATTTGTGTAACTATCACTGAAACATAGACACTCGAAACAATTTACCTAGCAAATCGATGTTCAAGACGATAATCGAAGCGATTGCACTCAAGCTTCGCGAACTAAGTCGACGAGTGCACTGTGTAGCGCGGTGTTCACACTAAGCGTGCGAAGCCCGCGCACAAGCACCATCGGTGCCAAGGCCACCGCTGGCGCTGATTGCGAAGTCGTTATTCGTTATGTCAGCTTGTGTTCTACTTATGCAATGCTTGCCTACCATTACGGTGCAGTTCGATGGCCCGGCGGTTCTTCTAAATATTTCGCGTTCTAAACAATTAGCTTATTATATAGGTGGCAACCAATAATAGTATATGCATAAACGCATTAACCGCATATTACATAATAATATGCGAACATGAAACACCTTTAGCGTGTGGTCTTACCTACCTGTAAAAAGCATTTATATGGCACCGGAGTAAATAGAAATGTAGTGACTTTTGATCGATTTTTAATTGCTTGTGTGCTACCAACTAGTTTTCATTGACCAAGTCCTAGTAAATTGTCTTATTTGGACCATGATTGGTCGAATGTCCAAAACAGCAAAAGATTGTAAACGAACTAATACTTACCTACCTAATATTTGTTGGTCCCGTAACTCCCGTAGTGATGTTCGTCGTCCATGTTTGTGAACAAAAACTTATAATTCGTAAACACAACTTGCAAATATCAGCTTGAAATTATAGTTAATAATTCCAATATTCTTATTACCTATATTAATTTTTACCGCAGGGTTAGGTAGGATATACATGTATTGTATCAAGCTGTCTCAAGTTACACCGCCCCAGGGCCCGACGGCATTCCAGGCCGTCCATGGGTTCTGGCTATGAGAGCTCTCTGGCCTCGACTAGCGGGGCTTTTAAGAGCATGTTTGGAGCGGGGCCAGTTTCCAAGCCGGTGGAAGATCGGAAAGCTGGTCCTGCTCCAGAAGGCGGGGCGCCCCGCAGACTCGCCGTCTGCGTACAGGCCGATCGTGTTGCCGGACGAGGTGTGTGAGATCTTCGAGCGAATCATTGCCGGCCGCCTCGTCGAGCACATGACCAGGGTGGGGCCGGATTTGGCGGACAACCGATATGGTTTCCGCCAGAGGCGCTCCACGGTGGATGCAATCATGCGCGTAAAGGTCCTGGCGGAGGAGGCAGTCGCCCGGAGTGAGGTGGTCTTGGTGGTGTCGCTCGACATCGCCAACGCTTTCAACACCTTGCCCTGGAGTACCATCCGAGAGGCGCTCCGGTAGGTATCACGGGGTGACGCGCTACCTCCAACGCATTGTCGGGGCCTATTTGTCGGACAGTTCAGTGGTGTACCCGGGTCGAGAAGGATGGAGTCGGCGAAAGACGTTGTGCGGCGTTCCGCAGGGATCGGTGTTAGGTCCACTCTTGTGGAACGTTGGCCACGGCTGGGCTCTGCGCTACTCCACGGCGTCGGCGTCATTTATTACGCCGACGATACGCCCGCAGCACCTACGGCTGCGGGAAATCTCTCACTTCCGGCTGTATTGTCTACTACGGTCGGGAGCGAGTCAGGGTGGAGTGCCGTCGCTACCTTCTGCGAGGCCGTGATGCTCGCAAAGGAGGCGGCGGAAAGGGAGAGAGGCTGCCTCTTCTCTCCCCTCCCGCAGCAGACGCACTAGACATCGTAGGGTGGCCGACCTGCGGCCACCGTAGGGCGCGGCCTGCGGACGACAGACTCTGGGCGTCTTGTCATCCGACCAGCAGCAGGCCTCGAGGCGGCGGCGCCGTGTACCGCGCGCGCTTCATAGTGGAGTCCTGCGGTCGGGGTGACGGGGCCCGCGTAACCATCTGGCGGGCCAATACCCGTCGGGCTTGCTTCGGCGATACCCGCCCCTCCGACACATGGGTAAATGGAAGATCACCGGGTTGGTTTTTAGTCAGTATGAGTCTGACAGTATCCTTCGCCCTTCCCCGAGGGTGGTGGGTCTCCATGAGGATTTTCCAAACCGCCACCATCCCGCCACCAATAAAAAAAAGTGTTCTGTGTATCATAAGGGGCGAGTAAACATAATATATATCAGACAAATACTTATGTAGAATGTAGAAGAAAAAATCTGTAACTAAGTGTCTTGGAACTCGAACCGCATATTCTTTTACTACGTTGGTCTATTAACACAAGGGTCTCAAAATAAGTAATTTCAGTTATAAAAACTACTTAAAAAAAGTCTCAAATTTCTAATGCTTTATTTATTAGATACAATTAGGAGATTTAAGAAGCTACTAACTCCATTTTTCTATATTTTTTTCGTAGTGTCGATACAGGATCTTTGAAGAGTATCGGATCTAATCTCAATACGGATCGCATCAGCGGCATGTAACCCCAAGCTGTAGCGAAAGTATTCAGACAGGACTGTCTTTGCACGAAGTGTTCGGGGTCGCTCCAAGATGATCTGAAATAAAACAAAACATCTGCTACTTCTGAACTACGAAACTAATTATTTTTTTTCAGCCATCAAAAGAACCATTTTTTTTGTTAGTAGTATTTTACATGCTAAAAACTTAAACACTAGGATTAGTAGGTAATAATAATTGCAACATACATTAGTGGGTCATGAACTTATTGCACAAACCAAATTTTTTAATGATGAAGAATTCATTACGTTCCTAAATGAAGAAGAAAATCGACCTTAAATATTTACTTATATTTATGGTGCGTAGCCTTATAGCGTCGTCGTTGTGCTAATTTGAGTGGTGGGCGTCGAGTGAGATGTGAGGCAAGACAATTCAATAATATATCCTCGCAATTGCGGGTCCGCCGCACGGCCTGCCGCAGAGCAGGCGCCGCGGCCGCGTACTGCGCTAGCACTGAGCGATGCACAAGAGCTGCGCCAGGCAGCACCATTGAATATGAGTCACCCCACTTGCTGCTGTAACCCCAAGCTCCCTGTATTAGACAAAAATCAATAGATTAGTAAGAGATTATTAAGTAAAGTTGTATTAAAATTTATAATAATAAATTAATGTCAACCTTTGCTTCGTCCCAAAAATGAGTTCGAGCCGGGTACCCGACTATTCGCTCAGGAAAATGCTTCCAAACACGGAATGCAAAGTCTAGTTCTTCAGCCAAAAGAGGAGCGTCACCGTCTAGAGAAAATACACCTGCTGTGGGAACCGCCCACAGTGGTTGCCACCTAGCCGAAACTCCTTCTCTGCAATTATTACAGGCATTGAATACTCTTAATAGCAAAACAAAATTATTTGGAAAAATGTTTAAATAGTCAGAAGTACATGAAATTACCCAGGATAGTGGGTGGTGGCATCAACAACGAGCACAGGTAGCGGATCGCGCGTGTCGCCTGCTAAGCGCGATAGCGACTTAAGCGAAGGCGCCGCACGTTCGCTATCCCACACCAAAACGACCTAGCGATTAATAGTCGCATTAATGGAAGTCTTTATATTGGGAGTCTTATTTAAAACATGAAATAAATACATAGAATTTCTCATGCAAGAGAGATACGGCGTATTACCTTCTCTTATATTACCTTCTCACAGTATTCACTGCTGGCTATATTAGCGAGTAATTTATGTAACGCTGGTGATGTAGCTTGAACGTATAGTAAAGCTGTATACGTATTGCCTGGTGTAGCCGGTGGCGCTGCCAGCGGTACCGAAGGAGCTGGGAGTGGAGACAAAGGACTAGACGGACAAATGGGGGCTTGCAGAATAGGGGCTGAAATAGGAAAATGAACTCGGGAGTCACCATAAGTAGCTAACGTTCCTAGGGCACCAGGAGACGCATTCCAAATTAAGGCTTCCCGTTGCTTTGACAATCTGTGTTCTAGCACACGCTCTAATAAAATCTGTGAAGTAAAAAATACAATATTTAACTTCATTCTTAATGGTTGAAACTTAATGAGATAAAAATACATATTTACTAGAAATAATACAATTAGATTTTTCTTCTTTTCGTATCTTAATAATTACCTCTATTGTAGTAAATACTATTTTTTCTATTGACGAAAAATACTGCTCCCATAAAAACTGTGTTTGTTGCCGAAGAGCAAGAATACGCTCAGGAGAAACTGAGCGCACTAACTCAGGTACCTATAAAAATAAATTATTTCATTTTTCATAAAATACTAGCTTAAACCCGCGACTTCTTTCGCGTAAAATTTGATTATCGTTATCGCTCAGGAGCTATTCTTTCCAGATATTACATTCTTTAAATTTAAAGTAGCCTTAGTTACTTCTTATAACAACAGCTACCTAGCAATAATATTCCAGTGTAAATCGGTCCAGTCATTCAAAATATTAGTCGTAACAAACAGACAAATATTGTAAAACGTGTAATTTTTTATTTATCATATAATATATGTATTCATAGTACAGTTTCTGCAGGGGTGGACCATTCTGGCACACTCTTAAAGCAGCGGTAAGACCCCACTTTAAAGATTATTAGCAATAATATTCCAGTGTAAATCGGTCCAGTCATTCAAAATATTAGTCGTAACAAACAGACAAATATTGTAAAACGTGTTATTTTTTATTTATCACATAATATATGTATTCATAGTACAGTTTCTGCAGGGGTGGACCTTTCTGGCACACTCTTAAAGCAGCGGTAAGACCCCACTTTAAAGATTATTAGCAATAATATTCCAGTGTAAATCGGTCCAGACATTCAAAATATTAGTCGAAACAAACAGACAAATATTGTAAAACGTGTTATTTTTTATTTATCATATAATATATGTATTCATAGTACAGTTTCTGCAGGGGTGGACCATTCTGGCACACTCTTAAAGCAGCGGTAAGACCCCACTTTAAAGATTATTAGCAATAATATTCCAGTGTAAATCGGTCCAGACATTCAAAATATTAGTCGAAACAAACAGACAAATATTGTAAAACGTGTTATTTTTTATTTATCATATAATATATGTATTCATAGTACAGTTTCTGCAGGGGTGGACCATTCTGGCACACTCTTAAAGCAGCGGTAAGACCCCACTTTAAAGATTATTAGCAATAATATTCCAGTATAAATCGGTCCAGTCATTCAAAATATTAGTCGAAACAAAGAGACAAATATTGTAAAACGTGTTATTTTTTATTTATCATATAATATATGTATTCATATTACAGTTTCTGCAGGGGTGGACCATTCTGGCACACTCTTAAAGCAGTGGTAAGACCCCAATTTAAA